CGTCAGAGTGAGCAGGGCACTGCTCAGCACTGCACAGCTCCAGATTCTACCATTCATCAGAAAAACAGTCAGGTTGTCTAAACGCTTAATGAATGTGGCTGGCTCGATTTCCAGCAGGGATCCAGAGGGGCTGCACAGCTGTGTGCAGAAGGGGTTCTGTCTGCCAGATCAGCTTCATGGTTTGGGGGGTGACCTGAGGGACCCTGAATCTCAAGTAAAAGAAAAAAAAAAAAAGGTTTTCTCCTTCTTCCTTGATTTATCCCATTTTCTCTGTTTGCTTCTCACTGAGGGAAGGAAAACTTCTTTTTGGCTGGAGAGATAGCTGTTCTACTTCTAGACAACATCCTTGAACAAGGGAGAACTCTAGTTCCCCCACAAAACCCAGGACATTATCTGTTATTACTCCTTCCCACTGGAGCCTTGTGGCCATTGAGGAACTGCCATCCTTGAGAGGCTCCTCCACAACAGAGTAGAAATCCTCCAAGCTGTGTCCCCTCAGATTCCATTGCATTCATTAGGCAGCAGTAGTCCACCCAGTGATGGCTCCAATGTCCTTCTAAAATCTCTTGTTCCTGCACAGGGCTTCCTGATGATCAGATCCAGAAGGGTAAGGACATCAAGAGTGTCTCAGAAATTGTGCAGAATGGGAATAAGTTCAAGATTACTGTGACTACTGGCTCCAAAGTAATGACCAATGAGTTCACCATTGGGGAGGAGTGTGAGTTAGAGCTGCTGACAGGAGAGAAGGCCAAGGTGAGACATCAGCTCCCACTCTGTCCAAGCTGAGGGGTTGAAGGAAATTGCATCTTATAGATTCATACATTTATGGAATCATTTGAGTTGGAAGGGACACTTAAAGGCTATCCAGTCCAACTCCCCTGCAATGAACAGAGGCACCTACAGCCAGATCAGGTTGCTCAGAGCCCTGTCCAGCCTGACCTTAAATGTCTCCTAGGATGAGGCAATCACCACATCTCTGGGCAACCTGTTCCATTCCAGTCATCCCTCTGCACATGGGCTAAAGGGAATAGCCACATCAAGGGTATTAAATCTAAAGTGTTAGATGTAAGGGGCAAGAGCTGGATAATTCCCCAAACCGATTCTGTCTCTTGCAGTTTGCATGTGTGATTTAATGCATTGGGAAGGGTTTAATTGCTGAAACCAAGCCTGCAGGTGTGATACTTACTGCCCTGCTCCTTGTAGACCCTCCCCAAATCTCTTAAAAATAAATTTCTGAAAGTGATAGTGCACTGCTGTGTGACCTTCTGACAAACTCAGAGCCTGGCTCTCTGAGGTTTCAAACTCCCCTCTGCTTCTACAAGGCATCGTACATCCTCCGCTCTCAGTATCTCTGCAGATGAAGCTCTGCATTTTAAAAGCTATTTTATTGGAAATATAAGAAGCCATTATTTTAATAGCCACTTTGGAAAAGGAGGATAGAGAGGCTTTGGTAAATTCTTCTGACTGCAAACCTTTCTGACTGAAAAGTTTGAAGTGAAAAGAGGTTTACTTTGTTATGCTGCAAAACAAAACATACTCTTCCTTCATTTTGTTGACTTAAGGGTAGCACAAGAAAGTCAACCAATGAATCATAAACCAATAAACCTGTCCTTTTAAGTCCCAGAGGCTGTTAGCTTGCCTGCCAGCCTTTTGCACTGCTGCTGTTTACACTGGGTGAGATGATTTGGCAAGGTGAGGATTTATGACTCTGGAAACTTGGTCAGCTCCAGTTCCTGGACAATACTTTTCAATGATTCATGAAATGTCTAGATGGCACCACTGGCAAATATTGCATCTCAGCTCTACACTGGGAGAAGTTGATACTGCAGGGACTTTTGAAAAAATGATCACTAAAGAAATGCCCCAGTGAGCTGGGCTCTGAGAGCAGTACTTGCCTTGTGTGGTTTCTAGCATCCCTAAAGACCCATGAACAGAAACCAGGGGTTACGAAAAGAGTTTTACCTTCCATAAATCAGCAGCTTGAGGGGAGATGAAGATGTTGTGCAGATGGACAAACAGGTGAACAGAAATTGATTTTGCTGTGTTATTTCTCTGAGTAATTTCAACAATCAATCAAGACTGCCCTGAGGGTGTCAGTGCTGTCTAAAGCCTTTATAGACATGTAGCTCCTGGGGGGCAGAAACTCAACCAATTCAGCTGAGACCTTTCCAGAAAAATTGTATCTCTTTCATAGAGGCTTGCAAAGTAAACACCCTCACTCTTGCCGTGCTGTAGTCATCACCAGCACAACAATTCCTTCCTCCTCTTGGGAAAGCCAAATCACTGGGGAGCAGCTTGCTCCCAGCAGTTTCACAGGAGATAGTAGCAGCTCAGAACAGAAGGGGAAGAAAAAAATCAGGGGGTGTGCAGTGCTAACATTAATGCCTTTGTCTCTTCCCTTCTTACTAGTGTATTGTTAACATGGAAGGTAACAACAAACTGGTTGCTAACTTGAAGGGGCTGAAATCCGTGACCGAACTCAACGGAGACACCATCATCCATGTAAGTGGAGAAGAGAAGGGCAATGGCCAGATTAACAGTGCAGACAGCTGCCTTCAGGGGTCCAAGAGGGGCCAGGCACTGCAAAGCCTCCAGTGATGCTGGAGACCTTAAACAGGTGCTGGAGATGAGCACATGCTTGCATTCAGGCTCTGTAGCCAAAGCAGATCAGTTGACCAGGCAATGAAGGCATTGTTTTTGAAACAGTCTGATTCACTAAGTGCCCTCTGAGACCCCATTAGGCACTGCTGATCAAAGTTACATGTAATGAGGGCATGTTTTCAGCAAGATTTATAGGTTTTGGGTGGGGCCTGGCACCTGTAAATAGGAGATGTGCAATTCTGATTCCAGCCAATGTCAGATTATCCTTATCTATGATGGGGTAGTCATGAATATATCCCAAGCTTTAATAATTTGATTTATAGATAATTAGATTGGAGATCAGTCCTGTACTGATTTGCAAGACCAGATCCTTTCCAAGTAGGGTTTGGAGCCAAGTGCAATGCAAAGCTAACAATTTCTATTGTTTTTCAGACAATGACGAAGGGAGACCTCACCTACAAGAGAATTAGCAAGAGAATCTAGAGACCCTGCACACACTCATCATTTTACCGTGTAAAATGTGTCCATTAAAGTAAAATTTGTATTATAACATCTTCATAATAAAACTCTTTGCTGTTGCTATAAAGAGATGCGAGACTCCAAAACTCACAAAAACCCTGGAAAAAAACTGTGCAGCAGGCTGAGCCAAGCCATTGTGAGACCATCTGTGTAGCTTGCTTGTCAGCCCCATTCTGAGAGACAGGCAGAAAGGGTTCTGTCCCCTTTCCTTGAAGACTTGGTCTTTATATGCAGGGCCAAAGAACAGGGTGGTTGAGGGTGGCAGATGTTGGTGAACCTGCCTGAAAAGCTGCCTTGGGGCACAGACCAGCACTGGGGGAGTTGAGGCATCCCAGCCATCCCTATGCTCACTTATTCATAAGAGGAGCCAGCCCTACAGGCTCTGGCCACCCCATCACCTTCTCTTCCCCATCCTTTGCAACCAGAAGGGCACCAGACAGCCTTTAGATGTTAAGTTTTGCCACAAACTGTGCCTCATAAATTGGGTTACTGAAAATAAACTCTGGATTTTCAGCAGGTTTTCTCTGCTGAGAGGAGGTCAGCACTGGTTATTCACAATGTAGACATAGGAGCACCATGGTTCAACTTTAATGCTTGATGCTGTAGGCTGGATGGAGACCTGGTTTTCTGAAATCAGGAGAGAGGAAATTCTCCCTTCTTAGCTGACTTTTCCAAGCTCTATGCTTGAAAGCTAATTGGGAATTTTTGCTGGGAAATGAGTGTACTGCTTGTGTGATATACTTATCTAGGATGATGTTCACAACAATTCAAAGCTGATAAGAATGTTAGGAAAACAACACCAGTGCCTCCCTATCTCCTTCTACAATCCCAATGTGTGCTGTTAAAGGACTAATTTGTCCTCATGTGCATCTGTCCCCAAATTTCCCCATCAAAGAAGGTTTTCAAGCTGCAGATTGGCACTGATCTTCATGTTAGGAACTATACCAATAGATATTGTCACAGTCGAGGTCAGATAGGTACCTCCTTGACAAGTGGAAGGATCTAGTTCAACATCTCCTAAAGAGCTGAAGTTTGTGTCCAGCAAACTCATCTTAGATCTAGAGGATCACCACCAAAATCACTGAGAAATGTCAAGAGAAAAAGGCCTGGTTTTGTTTTCTTGCTATTCTTGCTGTTTTGTTGAGGAGCTGGTAGGGGATTTTTAAATAATCAGTCCTTTTTCATGTTATCAATGAAGATCTGGAGCAAATAATTTGGATTTATAGATGGGCAGACAACAAAGATTTTTTTGTTATTTGGAAATCCATCCATTGCCATTAGACTTTTCCTTCTCTCCATTCAGGCTCAGTGCAAAATTGATTAAGCACCTAAGATGAAGGACAGGTACAGGTAAGCATCAGAGCCCCCAGCTCTGAGCAAAGGGAGTTCCCCATTCCTGGAGAACTGCCTGTTCAGTAAAAACAATCCACACAGCCACTTGCACCACATTACTGCGAATGGCATCTGGCATGGACTTATCTCATGTCCATCTGCTGCCACTACTGTGGACATCGTGTGATTTTTAACAAACTAACTTCTCTTAATTAATTTATCTTTAGACAGGAATCCCATTTAGGCACCCAGTCACTGTGGACAGAGTCCACACAGGTTGATATTACACCCATGTCACCTGCAGAACCATTGTTCATCAGTTTTTCATCAGAAAAAAATCACTTTACTCAAAATACCATCTGTATTTCTTAGTTGCTTTGCACTTGATGCCCACAGGCATACAAGACACTTCCAGGTACCTTGTCTATTGGTCAACCAGACATAGATATCACTGGCAAGAAGTGATGTCATCACAAGGAAGTGATGGAAAAAAATTAGGACAGAGCCAATTAAAAATTTAACTGAGGACTGCAGGACTTGCCCAGAGAGAAACTGGCTTTCATTAAGAATGTAAATAATTTTATAGCAGGTTTCTTGCTTTGATTTTTTAATGCTTGTGGTAGAAAATGATGTTGCTTTTGCCAAGAGCTTTTCTGCTGTGAGCTCTCAGGAGATTTTCAGGACTCTCCCCGCTGGTCCATGCTCTCAAACTGGTGGCACTGGAAACAATCCTTGGGGATGTATCACATTCACATATCACATTCCCCATGTCTGGAGGTGCAACAGGTGGTGTTACCTAACAGCATGACTTTGTGTCAAGCTCAATATTTATTCCTTCTTGTGGAAGAGGCTGGGTGGGGCCTCATTGCTGGGTTCAGGCATGACTTGAATCTTTTGGTTTTTGAGGGCAGCTTCCCTCATCTTGTAGTACATGAACTCATTCTGCTGGAACATGCGCAGCTCCATCTCCGTCTGGACACGCATGACCTGAGGGACACAACAGATTAAAGACCTGTGATGCAGGAGATCTCAAAGCAAGTGAAAAACACACTAAAACGAGGCCTGTCCATCAGGGATATTCTGAGCCATGTAGACTGATTCCTCTTGCTCCAGGTGTCCAAGCAGTAGAACCAAGGCTGACTGGACAGAAATAGCATTTACTTTCTCAGAGCTGGTTGCCTGTGACCTATGAAGGTGAATAAGGCATCAGTCCTTTCTGCACCCACCCCTTCTGCAGGTTCTTGGGAAACCTCATCCCTGGATTCATTATGAACAATCATTTGTAGTACTGCATTATGACATTATGTAGTACTGCATTATGCATTATGTTCAGAAGGGATTTAAGGAAATCTTTTTACACCTGTCTGTAAGTTCCTTCTACCTTTGGTTTAGTAGCACAGAGATCAAAGATCCACTATTTTCATCCTGAAGAAAGTGAAAAGGGAAATACAGAAATGAAGGTGCTGGAGTCTTACCCTATGAGATGTAAAGAGGCGAACAGTCAAGAGACTATTTTACTTTAGGCACAAGACAGTCATTCTTCTGATAATATAAAATTGCACTAAGATTATAGCTCTGCTGTTAGGGGGACAAACATCAATAAAGGATTCAATTTGGCACTGTGTAAGTTTTTTGGCTACTAAAGGAGAATAAAGCCAGTAGGCCATATTCAGTGAATTAAAGGGTAAAGAAATGATCAGCCCTTAGATGCAGTCATATATAGTTCATCCGAGCTCAACATGTGTGATTCTCCTGGGATCTGCAGCTCTTGACCTTAAGCTAGGAAATACACGTATCAGTCATTTGAGAAAAAAATAAACTGCAGCCCAGAAGGACTAGGGAGTGGTAAATAAAGAAGAATGGTCATCAATACAAGACTAAGAATATTGGTTGATAAGCTAGGAGCAAGTTCATCATGTGTAATTTGATACCAAATTGGAATGCCATCCATTTGAGAGCAATGAGGTCAGGCTGTTTGAAGGATGGGAGGCTCTGCCCTTGGGCTCAATGGTTTCAAAAAAAGATTCAGGGGCTCAATGGCTATTTTTAAAGCATGTACTGGTGCAGAATAAAAGACGTTTTTCAGGGATGAAAATTTCCCATAGGAAGGAATGTGCATTATCCAACAGACTAATATGACCTAGAGAAAAGGATGGCACTAGTAAGAAGCAGCCATAACTTGACCTATCTCTCTTACAGATGGGTCGTTCCTACAGACTTAATGTAACCTCATTCAGGCAGATAACAGAGGCGAGAAGGGAGATTGTGACACCTACCTCCAAGTCTTTGGTAATTGGGTGGGAAGGTCCATGCGTTATCAGGAGAATGGCATAGGCTTTACAGATCATGCTGTGTCCAGCTTCAATGAGGCCAGCATGCCAGTGGGTCACTCCTGCTCGCATCACAGCCATCCCCAGCTGTGCATTGTTAGGATGGTATATTTTCCTGGAAAAGCATTGAGTAATTTTAGTTCAGGAAAGATCTCAATTCCCAAATGTTTGTCAATGATGTGACATATTTTCCAAAGAGCAAACTGTTTACTCAGTTGAAGATTCTGTTGAATTTGTTGCCAGGAAATGTGCAGACCCACTAGGGGCACGAGGACATGGGTTACACAAGGACACAAGGTGTTGTGAAAGAGAATGAACAGCACTGCAGACAGTGTGAGCTGAACACCTGGGTTGGAGGCCTGATCATACAGCCTAGATGTCATCAACTTCACAGATGTAATGATGTGCCTAAATTGAAAAGGCAACAATCATCAACGTCTCATTAGCTAAGGCCACGTATTACTCAACAGTGAAGGGATATCTTGAGTGACAGTCATTTGACACAGCTCCTCTTTTCTCTGCAACTTATCTTTCCTGCAGGTTGCAGGAGAGCAGGCCAAGTCCTGCAGCGATGATCTCTCTGTCCTACACTCAGGCTCTGTGCTTTGCTACTAGGGCAACCCTGAGATGCTTCTGACCAAACCAAAGAGGCTAATGAAAGATGATCCAAACTACTTGGCATTTACAGTTAAGTAATTCAAGGTGTTTGAAAGCATTTAGGAATGAATTCCTCTCTGTCTGGTGATCAGATCAAAATCTTAATGCCACCACTTCTGTTCTGATGGGAGCAGACTAAGAAAATAACTTCTATAGCATACTGCCTAACACTGCATAACCACAGAGAACTGCCAAAAACAGAGCAGAGCCATACATGTAGCCGTCCACCATCCTCTTGGCATATTCAGCTGCTTCTTCAAACATCTGGAGGTAGGAGAGGACCTCAGAGGCAATGCTGAGGATCCTCAGGAGGTAGATGTTTGTGTCTCCCAGCACAGGCTCTTGTTTCTTCAGGCACTCACGGCACAGTTTCACAACCTACATCCAGAAAGCAGGGAGAAGGAGGAGAAAGTCAGAGTACCACAAGCCCTGAAGCTCCCACTCCTGAGCCTTGTGTGGTCCATACCAGTCCTAGAGACCAAGTCAGACTGCATGAAGTTTGGATAGGATATGCTTTTATATGTCAAGAAGCATCAGTCTAGCTAAATGATTCATGCTCAAATCTTCCTCTACCAGGGTTAGTTTCATAAAGTAAGCAAGGAAGAAGTGATTATGCCCCTCCTTCCATCCACCCAACCTCCTATAAGCATCCTGATGCAAAGAATGCTCCTAATCTCCCTGTGAAGGTGGAGACATGAATATTCCCATTCCCACTTGCTTGTCTGTGTCAGCTTTTGTGATCTGAACTGCCGAGAGGACAGGATGCATGTGGAGACATTCAGATTATGGAAATGGAACTTTGTTTCACCCATAAATTTTTGACATAGGTGGGACAAGACCTAATTCCACTGGCACCACATACACAGCAAGAGAGCAAGAGCACAGGGACTCACTTCATGGTAAGTTCCCTCCAGGCGGGCCTTGTTGATCTTCTCCAGCGTGTCCTTGGAGAACTGGATAACTTCCTTCACTGTCTCTGCGGAAGGCTGGGGACAAAGTTAGGAAAATTGGTGAGAAATATCCACCACCTGACATACAGGCACTATACACATCCAAGCACGCCTAATGAAAAAATAACCAGCCCCTAATTAGCCACCTCCTCTTCCTCCATTTATTGCTGAAGTTTAATACAATTATATCCAGTACCATCACTCATCCTCTGCTTTTCCAAGCTGTTTGAATTTGCATTTTCAAACAATTCTAGCTATCACAACCTTCCTTTTGATAAATGGAAAATCTGAACTCAGGCCACAACTGCCTCGTTCTGGGAACTTGCAGGAAGAGCCTGGTCAGGAGACACATGACCAAGACAGAATACAGGCATGTGGCCAGCAGACAGGAAGCAGAGACACAAAGATGCAATGAAGAATGCAGAGATTTGGACTTACAGTGCAGGACAGCTCCACTGTCTTTTTGCCATACTTGGTTGATGGGATTTTTGAGGAGTCAGATTTAACTAGTTCAGAAAAGCTCTTGAAAATTTAGCATGGAAGAAAAAACAGTTGCATTTCAGAGCTATATGTCCCATATGTACATGGTTATGTATGTTATGATGTTATGATGGATTATTACATATTATCAGACAGAAACTGTCACAGTCAGATTTCAGCAGCTGTCTGAGCAGCACACAGGATGTCCTAATGGCAAGAGCACATTCATTCAAAGGCAGTGTTAATATCACTAGCTGTCTGAGTAAAGACTCCCAGAACAGCCACTTCAACAGCACTTCCACAGCAGCTTTACCTAATAAAATTCTCTCCTGAATTTACTAAAACCTAATCCTGTTGCCATCATAAACAATGGGAGCTTTGCTACTATTTGGAAGAGGTGATGGACCAGAGGCCAGAGCGGCTGTTGAGGATGTAATCTGTCCATCTCACATTTATTCATAGAGCATTTTCCACACAGCTGTGAGTGCTGCTGCTGTCAGGCAAGTGAGCCTGAATTTGGGGAATGCAATACAGCTGATGTGCTTTGAGGGTGAGGTCAGCCCGGATACTCATTGTCTGTGGATGGAGGGTATTTATAATAGCTGAAATCATATCTCATGTAAAGATACCAGGAGGCTTCTTCTATGCCAGCAATTCAAATAGTGGAGCGCATTTCCCCCAAAGTGCACACTGCAGAACATATGGAGTGTTCACAATAAGGAGATGGTGCATGTCAGTGCTTGATAGCAGGTTTTGAATGAGAGATGAGATTTTTTATGCAGCCCACTGCAGGAGCAATTTGAAAATACTTCTATAGGAAATCAGATGAAAATGCTTCTGTATCTGGGACAGCTACTGGGAGCTTCACTAGCCAGAATTAGCTTTAAAATGAAGCTTGATAGTTTAGCAATGGAATTATTTAGCAATATCTTTTGCAACAATTTATCTTTTGTAGAGCTTACAGGAATAGAACCCCCCTTAGCTAACACTGACACAGAGGAAAAATAGATTTAAGCAATTATATCCTTGGGCACAGGAATAAAAAGAAGGAGATCTTAGAGCTATCAACGTGCTCTGAAAATAGGAGCTGGCCAAGCAACACATCCTAATGCCGACAACAAGACACAGCCTTACATCCTTCTACTTGATAAGTTGTCAGATTTCCCAGCAAAACACAGACGACTGAAAAATGAATGGCCCAACACACTAATTCTTCCCAGTAGGTCTGCCCAAGCAACCAGGCACAAATGGCAGAGCATAGAACAAATTCACTCTCATCAGCCAGTGCAAGGAGGGTCTGATGAGTGGATTCCCAGGTTCCCAGAGCCAACATGATGGTACATCTTTACAAACTGTACAGCTTACGTAGTGCCAGTTGGTCCTGTTCTCATGGACTACTATATACATATATACATGATATAGTATTTTCTGTTCTGCTGTTGTTCAAAACTTTGATTCCACTCAGTTCCTGTCAAAAAGTCCAATTTAAATACTTGCATTTTTCTCAGTAAGAGACCTCATTTTCTAATATTTTATCATTCTGCCTGTTACTGGACTGTTAGGTTAGGGTTAAAGGCAACTTTTGTGGGCTTTTTAAAAATGAAAACCTGTCTGCCTGTCACATAATAGAGATTAAACTGACCGTGCATGTTTGACTTGATGTTGAGCTTAATAATGTTTCAGTCCTGGTCTCATTTTTTGCATTGGCACTGTTCAGACTGCCACAGTCTGACTCTGGCACTGTTGGGTGTCCCGACTGTGGAGGAGATACAGCCACCTCTGTTTGAGGGCACCACAGGACCATACCTTGTTGTCCCCCCCCTTCACTGCCAGCATCAGGTCATCTTTGATCTTTTTCTTGCAGTGCTCACAGGTGCAGTCGAAGTAATATTGCTTCTTCAACTGCTTCTGCCGCTCCTCACTCACATTGAGGAAGTCCACATAGGACACAGTCAGCTCATCTCCTGGGGAGATCTTGCTTAGTGCCCGCAGCTCAATCCTGGGTGCAAAGAAGACAAGATGTGGAATTGGAGAAGCAAATGCAGCCATGGATACATCAGGGACAAATCCTGCTATTGGAATCAGCCCTTGCCCTAAGGTACTGTTTTAGCAATGCAGAGATGTGCAGCGGTCTGGTTAGCTGAACAGTTACATCAGTTTGTCCTCCCCCCCTGCCTGGCTGGGATATGCTGAAAAGCAGAAAGAGTCCCATCCTGGGTGAATAGTGGGATGAACCCAGCCATAAAATCTTATTATGCTGGAGAGAATCTCACCACAAGAAAACCCCTCAATCAGAAGTACACAACAAGTCTTGTAAAATGCTGAGTTTGGACTTTGGGTCTTTTTTAAGCACAGCTTGCATACTGCTTGTAGAGCTCTGGCTAGACTCCCAGATCCTGATCTGGGCTGCTTTCAGTATCATTTTCACTCTGAGAAGTTGAGATGTGCCCTTTGGGTGTAGGATAAGAGATGCCCCAATCCGCTTCATGCATCTCTACATAAAGCCTTAGAAACAGTTGACCAGGAATAGTTTATTTTCTACATAGACCATCTGAGCTGATGCCTAATGCAAATTCAAACATAAGGAAATCACCAGTCTGTTACTAACCCAAAACCCAGGGCAAATGCTTGCAGTGTTGACAGGCCTCTGGAAAGCCAGATTTTTGCACCTACCTTTATCTCAGGCCTTTCTCTGTAAGACATCTTAAATGATGTGGACACACAAATTCCCTTGCTGTTTAACTCCAGCAAGATAAATATCTTAGTTCCTCTGGGCTGTCCCTCCATCATGGGGTCTGGATAAGCACCACGGCATGCTGCCTCCTTTAGGTCTCACCGTGAAGCCAGGACGTTTGTATCAGGTCATCTCTGTGTTTTAGAAGAAAGCTCCTGGGGGATGCTCCTGGGCAGTGAGGTACTGGCACAGGCTGCCCAGGGACTGTGGGTGTCCCATCCATGGAAATGCTCAGGGCCGGGTTGGATGAGGCCCTGGGCAGCCTGATGTGGTGGGCGTCAACCAGCCCACAGCAGGGGTTGGAACTGGACAGGCATTAAGACCCCTTCCAATCAAGCCATTCTGTGATTCTATGCCAAAATGTCTCACCAGGAGAGGGAGCTGATGACCGGAGCACTATAGGCAGGCTGGTAGCTAAAAGCACTCTGGGTCCTTAGCTTTGCTAAAGCTATTGTGAAAACTACACGTTGAGGCTGGTCTTGACTTTCTCTGGGCATTAGATCATATCAACAGCATATTGCATACTAAATTTATCACTGAACATGTCATCATAATGAAGGGCAGCTATTAGACCTGTCAGAACCATAGAAAAATGCCAACCAGAGAAAGGTCCAACCAGCTACTCCAGGAAAAAGCACACAAAAAGGAGCAATTTCCATCAAAAAGGTTTACACAGAGAAGAAACATTCCTCTTCACACTTAACAGGATCCTCATTAAAGTGAGTCATGCAACCAAAAAAGCAAGCCTTTGACTTTTATGATGCCCCTGATAACCTAAGTACCATAGGTATATTTTAAGCAGTCATCTGTGGTGACGAGGGGATTGATAACATTTCAAACAAGCCTGGACACACGTGGTATATTTTAAATCTACAGTTAGAGAGACACTGTCAGTTGATAACTTCACCAAGCTCGTCCTGTGCTCTTTCCCTCCCTAGTGTCTGCCCCAGGCTCCAAGGACCTTGAGAGACGTGCACAGAGAGCACTGGGGAGCTCAAAACTCAAATGGTCCAGAAACAGCAACTCTAATTAGGAGTAAAACCCAGTTGCTCACTTTTATGGTCCTATCTGTAATGCTGTGAGTCAGTGGTAAAGAAGTATTTCATCTCTTATGTCAGGAAATTTCCTGGTTTTTTTTGGAAATGAAGTTTGAAAACAACAGTGTCCCTGTAACTGGACTGCATGTAACATACCAAGTGTATGAGCAGAGTAAAGAATTTTTACCACTTTTTTTGGCATAGTTTTCAGGGATTTCTCAAGCAAAAGAGAATGCTCACATCTGGTAACAGTGGCATCATTAAAAAGTAAAACATTTATCATGTACTATGATAAAAAAAGGATGAAACCTACATCTCACAGTGTTGCTATTGTAGACAATGCATTCACAGGGCACTGTTTGTTGCAGAAGAGACATGGACTATTTAGTATGTCAGTAATGCGACCATTTCTCATCTCGTAGTATGCAAGGTTTTATTTTGGGCTGTGTAAGATTAGCAAGACCTTGTTCTGACTTTCATGCTCTAGCTGCACTTGGGGGGGGGAGAAATGAGAAGTGGAGGGGAAATATTGAAACAGAGGAAGCCATGGGAGAGGGCAGAAAGGAAGGGAGGGAATTTACAGTCAGGGAGACATTACTGCTATTGGTTTAATTTCTACAAAATGCAGAGTTAAGTGAGGTTTGGGTTTAGTGGGGCTTTACACGGGGAGGAGTAGAAGTTCAGAAAACATAAGTGAAGTTTTCTGCAAACAGAGGGTTTTTGGAACCCCTCGGTGCTGTTTGCAGCTGTGTCATTAACAGGGCATGAGGGTGCATGGCAAGGGGAAGGACAACGCTTTCAAGAGTGACCCACCTCATCTGTGTGTGGAACATTGATCTTACAGCCTCATGACTGAAAGACAAAACAGACATCTGCAGTTTACACCGGTACAAGCACAACAAAAGAAACTGGGTGAACTGTGATCATCTTGCTTGGGGGCTCTGGAGCTCCCGATGCCTGTCACATGTCAGTCAGCATAAAGGTACAAAGAGATCTGCTGTCCCTGTACAGCTACTGTAACCAAATCACACATCACTGATTCACAGTGGTTTCAGGGACAGCTGTCCTGGCACTGTGATTTTAAGAGTACTGTCAGCCAGTGGATGAGTAAAATCCTCTGCTAACATTTTGCAGGGCTTGTTTTGTGCTGACGAGAAAAATCTCTGACATCAGTAGTCATGCTCTCCAAAATGCAGCTTGAAATGGGAATTAGACTGGGATATCAGCAACTGTGCTCTCTAACGAGTTTAGTGGGTCCTCAAGCCCAGCACTGTGCCTCGAGTGCTGAGAGCTCAGTTCCTGCAACAGTAGCTGCTCTTATCTCCAGGTTTCCTAGAAAAGAAACCTTGATAATTTACCTGGCCAATTAGCTAATGTAAGCACATTTATAGTCATGGTCATGGTTTAAAGCCAGCAAAAGGATTCATGCAGGAAATTCATCAGGCTGCCACGCAAGCAAAATGTCATTCCTCTACTTACCACCCAGAAACTCAGGTTTGGGGGCTACTACCCCTGCCAGCTACCTTCTCCAGCACTCAGGCTGGTCAGAGAGGCTCCTCGTCACCCCGTATGTGACCCAGGGCAACTAGCTGTACAGCCCAGGCTCCAGCTGGCTCTGGATCACAAAGGTAACCATCCTAAAGCACTTAACTTTTCTCTTTGCTCATTCCCTAGCTGCTTTATAAATACTGGTATCATTTTAGCAGGTAAAACTGGCAGTGAGAACTGGAGTGCACAAGCAATGTGTTAGTTAAAGGAGAGGAGGCTGTGGGCTTACCTTAGGCTCAGCACTGAAGCTTGCTGAACATAGGAATGTATAAAATCTTAAGACTGAGCTGAAAACATTGATAAAACACCGTGGCTGTGGAGTTCTTGGCAAGCAGTTTCCTGCAGTTAATGTCTTGCACATAATGCTGCTTGTTGGATCAGCAGCAGTTTAGGCTCATCCTGGCTTAGAAGGAGGTGGAGGGCAGAGCATCCCTCTGGCGGCTGAGCTGGGCACTGAGAGCAGCTGCCTCCACTGCCCGCTCTGCTGGGACATCCCTACAATCTCACTGTGCTTTTCAACCTCTTCCTATCTCACACATCCTACAGATATTTTCTTGCAGGATTTGAGTGGGAAATTGAAATGCACAGCACGTTAGGGCATCCAGCACTTGCACGTGACTCTGTTTGCAGATAACAGTCATATTTCTCATTAAGAACCTATTTCTAAAGAGTTTATCAGTAATTAAAAGAGACTGCAAGCTCCCAAAGAGATCAGAGTTTGTGTTAAGGATGGCCATAAACACATCAGTGGTAGTGATACATGGCTGATTGCAAGCTTCAGTTATGAGAAACTCTTGGACTGTGGACTCAATTTAATCTTTAAAAATTCATTAACTGTAAATACTCCTTAACTGCTTATGAAGCCTTAATTGAAGCTATCTAGGTAGCTACTTGCCACCCTATTTGTCTATTTTGAGTCTGATTTCAAAACTCACAAGGGAAAATTACTTGCTGGTTCATTGGATTTGAGATCAAACCCTGCTGAAAAGCTCTGTATATTTGTTTCGTCTATCAGATAGCATGTTTTTAAATAACAAGAGGAAAAAACAGCTCTTCTTTAAAAAGAAAACCCTAACTTTTTGTTTCTGGACTAGAGAAGGAAATGAGAATCAATTTTCTGGGAGAGGGATCTGACACTCTGAGGTTAGCAATCTGTTATGTGCATTGACTGTTAGGATAGATCCCCACTGTGCTTGAGGAAAGCAATGTACTGCACTCACTTGCCATTGTTGAAGATGACAGTACAGTTGGGCCAGCAGTCGTGGTTGGCCTGGCAGAGGTTGGGGAAGATTCCCACACCAACGGCTTGCAGTCCTCTTTGGTCACTGAGGGTAAAGGCATTGCAGTTGATCTAGTCCCAAAAACACAGGCAGGAAGGAGCATGAAAGGAGAAAAAGTTGAATTCAGCTACATTCAGTATTTCTCAGCTGCTGATGATTGTTCAGGAGAGGCACACCTTAGTATCCCACCTCCAAACTTTAAGGAGAAAGGAGAAGTGCCTACAAGATTATTGTAGAAAGTAACTCTAGAAATGATACATGGTGAAGGTACACTGGTCTCTTGTATGGATGACTCCCTGTGCCCAGTGGATGCTGTGTGTCCCTTGGGGAAGTTGATTTTCCATGGAGTTAATGAAGCCTGACATTCACTGACTCACAGCAGGGCTGGGGCAGAGCTGCTCAGCCTCGTGGACTTTCTCTCTCTGCACCACAAAAATTTGTAGTTAACATTTTAGGAAAGGTTATTATGAAATCTTTTCAGTATACTTTACCTATTATGTGTATATATATGCTTGCAAAAATGTAATGCATGTAATATTGTAACAGAATAATGCATATACTAAAATAGATCTGCTACATTCTCATATATTCTATTTGAAATATGTTTACTAAAAATATATTTATATGTTTTTTCTTAGCTCCTGAAGGTGCAGAGTGATGCCCAATGGGACTTGTGGTGACAATGCAACACCTGAGATTGAGAGACCCATTTGTCTGCACGTTTAGACAGACTGCAGACCTTGACCTGGCTGTGCCTCAGATTTCTCTATGTCAGTGCAGAAGGAATGCGTATGGCAAATATGGCAGTATTCAAACCACCTGTAGAAAATGCTTGTCTTGGCTATCTCAAGGATGAAGTCAGGAATCCTCAACTCATTCATTTTGGTTTGAGACTTCCCTTGGGCACTTGGCATAATCCACAGCATTAAAAGAAACCCCCTTTGCTTTCTCACCCCTTTGACATACCACTCCAAATATGTGGGAGATGTACTGCATGCCAAACTGCTGGCTCTGAGCTGGCCAGAACTCCAAGAAGCTTTCCACATCAATACGGAGGTCCTTCTTCTCCTCCTCGTCAAAGTTCTCCACGTGGTTTTGCAGGTCATCAATAGAGACCAGGCAGTTCTCTGACAGCCCACTGCCTTCTCTCTCTATCCGCCACAGGATCCGGGCTGCCAGCCTGGCCAGGAGAGATCCCAAGGTGTTAGCACCATGCAACACCAGATCCTGGTACTCGTCTACTCAGGTTCTGGTGCTCCTCCACCCAGCACAAGGACAGGGATTGAGGGGCCGCCAAAATTCATTTATCTGTGGGACACTGTGTGCAGCCAGGTCATACATGACAAGTTCAGCATCAGCTGGCTTATGGCTGGTCCTCATCCAGGAGTTTTGAAGGGAAGGAATATATAGATACAGGGATTTCCCATGGCATCTGTGTTCGAGAAGTCAAACAGAATCCCAGCCCTGGACAGCTTCTTCCATTTCTGTGGGGATTCCTATCATTTTCTTACTACGGAGCCAGGACATGAATCAAAATCAGTATATACTGGAGCATCCCTGCTTTTCCCATTGAAACTGTAAAAGGTGGCTTTTCCTCATCTCATTCAGCTGCTGTAGGGTTTTGAGTGTCTAACACCAAATAAAAGCGGGAGCACAACCTCCTCACACTGTGGGTGTTCCTCCAAGCCCCAGCCCATGAGCTCAGGGATGTTTGTGGCCTTCCCCAAACCAGTTCCCACCATCACACATCTAACTTGGGACACCCAGCTTTCTCTCACCATCCCCAAAGGGATTTCCTATCCTCTCCCAACATTCCCTGGCCTGGTGGTGCACCGGACAGCCAGGCTGTGAGCCCAGTTCCTCAGGACCCACTCTCACCTGATGTTCTCAGTGGGTGCCTTGCCGTGCTTCTTGATGGCAGAGCACTCATTTTTGTGGTTCAGCCAGGCATCTCTCTGGCAGGTTCGGTCACAATAGTAGGCGAACTTGCACTGGCCACAGCGATGGAGCTTCTCTTGCCGTTTGAAGCAGGTGTGGCAGACTACGTGTGTCAGGCTGGAAGGACAGAAAGTAGGCTTATGCCTCAGTGATAGAATCATAGAGTCATAGAATCATTAAGGTTGGAACAGACTTTGAAGATCATCGAGTGCAACTCCAACACATCCCCACCATGCACACTAACCCACGTCCTTCAGTGCCACATCTACACAGTTCTTGAACTCCTCCAGGAACAGTGACTCCACCATCTCCATGGGCAGCCTGTGCAAATGCATTATCACTCTTTCAGAGAATAAATGTTTTCTAATAACTAACCTGAACCTCCCCTGGCACCACTTGAGACCAGTGCCTCTCACCCTATTGCTGTTACATGAGAGAAAAGGCCAACCCCCACCTCGTCATAACCTACTTTCAGGAAATTGCAGAGAGCAATAATGTTTCCCCTGAGCCTCCTCTTCTCCAAACTGAACCATCCCAGTTCCCTCAGCTGCTCCCCATAAGACTTGTACTCCAGATCTCTCACAGCTTTGTTGCCTTTCTATGGACACACATGTCTTTCTAGTAGTGAGGGGCCCAAAACTGAACTAACTTGAGATATGGCCTTACCAGGGCCATATACCAGGGGACGATCACCTCCCTGCTCTGGCTGGCTACACTACTTCTGATACAATCCAACATACCATTGATCTTCTTGGCCACCTGGGTACACTGCTGGCTCATGTTCAGACAGCTGTCATCCAGCACTCTCAGGTTGTTCTTCTTCATACAGCCTTCCAGCCACTCTGCCCCAAGCCTGTAGCATTCCATTGGGCTGTTGTGACCAAAGGGCAGGACCCAGCACATGGTCTTTTTGAACCTCATACAGCTGGCCTCAGCTAAGTGATCCAGCCTATCCAGATCCCCCTGGAAGGCCTTCCTACCCTCAGGCAGACTGACGCTTCCTCTAAACTTGTTGTCATCTGCAAACTTAGGGTAATGGCTCAACTCCACCAGGCAAGGGTCCTTTCAGCTTTCTGTCAATGAGCTCCTCCTAAACAGTATGATGGAACTTCAGACATTCTGGGAGGGTGGACAAACATCCCACCTAGCTTAATCCTCATACACTTGTCTGATGCTGTTGCTTCCCTATTTGGCTATGCCAAAGAGACAAATATTTTGTTTAAAGGAGGAAAGCAATAAAGCATTCCCCAGCTCTCAGCCCTCTTTTCTGCAGTTTGTCTGCTCCTTCACAGAACCACTGCTGTTAACAGGATTTTCAGTCTGGTTTTGTTTTCTGTCTGGCCCATGCTGAGCAGAAAGCAGACATCTAATGAGTCTGTCACTTAGTAGAATAAGAACAATGTGAAGGCAATGAGCCAGCCTGAGTGCTTCACCTGCTTGCAAAGCCTCCAAATTTGGCTGAATTGAAACCCCTCCAGAGGGGTTCTGCATAGGGCCTGGTACAAAAAAATGATAGCGACCACCACAACACTTGACAGACTTAGGAGAAAATAGGTGAGAGGGGTGAGTATGGTTCTGTGTGGCTGCTATCTCAAGCGTTATTTAAGCACAGTCATACTATAGGGATAAAAATACACACAAGAAATGCTCTGATAATCAGCAGACTAGAGGTGAACCACAGTAAAGAGGACTGATGGATGGAGGCAGTTATATAGGGAAACCCTGCGTTTGTGCTGCTTGAAACCAAGTCATTTTTCTTTGAAGTAAAAGCAGCTTTGCTTGACACTTCTTTCTGCCTCTGGACCTGAACTGCATCTATATGGGCAGACCTGCATTTGGTATTGTGTTGGAAATGACATAAGAAAGCCAAGAAAACATCCTCCTCCTAGGTAGGTCTCCTCATCTTGAAGTCTTCTCTTGTATGTCTTCTCCTCCCTTCATCAGACACAGCATGTCTCTTGGCTGTCTAACACCAGGTGACACCAGACTGGGTGACTTTGGGGTTCTCCTCATCCCAGGGATTCCAGAAAGATGATTAGGATGGACAAAGGGCTGAGGAACCCATTCAGTCAATCCCACACACAACTGTCCAGGGTTGAATGAAATTTCAGCTGCCCCAGGGACAGACAAGCAATACCAAACAGTTAAGGATGGAAGAAAGCTGAACCCAGAAGCGCTCATGGAGCACTGTCTGGGGTAGGACATGGGGCAGACTGACTGTAATACCAAGTTTAGGGAGCAGTATTTGTGTTTATGAACATTGTAAGATTTTATTAATAAATCTAAGAGGGATTTTGTATTCAAAAGGGCAATATGGTGCTGAGAATACAGATGATTTAGTGCTTGTTCCAGAATATGGCACCCATGGGGGTGCTATTAAACAGTAAAGTAACAAGGGCAGTGCCTGATGTGGGGATGAGCTCTGCTCTGTTTAGTCTGACATTAGCTTTAGCACTGCGCTCTTTAGGTCACTTAAAGCTGTCCTGCAAACAGGCTACTTGTGCAAATTCCTCCTTCCAGTCTAAAAGTCTGATGTGTCTCTGGTGCCAGCAGCACTAAATGCTGCTCACCAGCTATTCCTGTTCCTCACTGTGGTTTACTGTGAGCTGGATGAGCACAGCATAGCAGGGAAACAGCTTTCAAAAGAATGTTTTCTCTTTGGGGACTTCAGAAAAAGATTTCCAAAAAGCATCCTACCATTGCATATACATAACTATAACCAAGGGTGAGGAATACATCAGAGGATACTGATGAAGCCCAATTTGATATCCTCCTTCCAGGAGTGCCCACGGTCTTGGACCCCATGTGCCTTGTCTCACATGTCCAATTGCTCGTTTCTGTGACTTGTTTCAATGGGAAGGAGGGGGAGACCTTTTGGGATTTTCTCCTTGCTGCACCAGCAGGCTTTTTTTCCCAGCAGTTTGCTTCTCCAGGCAGCTGCACGCTCCTCTGCCTCCAGCCAGGCTCAACAGCAAGAGGGAATTAAAATTCTTACTGCTTAGACACCGCAGTCTGTTTGGGGGAAGTTCTCCTCATGGCAGAAATCTCACTGACCCCATGGAACATTATCATTGCCTCACAGCAAGGAAACAGGCATGGGGAAGGAAAAAATGAGTCGACAGTCACAAGAAAAGACTGTGCCACAAGTAGGAATCACTCCCATAGTCACAGGACTGTCTTGCCTCTTCCCCCTACATAAATACATATATATATATAAAAACATGTGTGCATGTTTATTTCTATCCCAGTACATTTAAAATGCTTTTTCGTTCCTCTGGCACTACTGCTTGAGCTACTGAAACCACCCACTCAGTGTGTTGGCTCAGGCAGGATGAAGAGGGCCACTGATGTAAAGCAGGTTGATCTGCAGCAGGCAACACCACGTGCAAAAATGACGTTTGGAAAATGACAGCAAGCAATGCTGGTGCAGGGGAGCGAGCCCAGTGCAAGGCAAGCAGTCAGCATGGGGAAAGAGGGAGTGCATGTACACAGAGGGGGATGCAGCCAGCTCTATTAATGCAGATGAATAGCTGGGAGGTGGTGAAAAATGCAACACTGTGCTCTGTCAGCTGTCAAGTCAGGGGGCAGAGAGGTGCAAGAGAGATTACATTCCTTGTAAGGCAAAGGAGAGACAGAGAGTTGATAAAACCCACATGGTTGTGTTGTGCAGTGAAGCACAGAGAGATATGTCGCACAGGGAATGGGGCACCCTTCTGCTGCTTGCCTGTTTTGAGGGCAGACAGAAAGTGAATGGGCAGCTAAGAAGCTTCCCTGCACGGAGGAATGATAGGGTGGGTGTGAATGCAGTGCAGCAGAACACCAGTCCTGAAGCAGTTTATCTTCCCAGCTCTCTAGAACAAAACAAAACAAAAAACCAAAACAAACCAAAAAAATGCTGGCTGCAGATAGAATTATTCAGTAATCTGAGTAGGTTGGTGGGCATAAAAAATACCTTGTTTCTCATAAAACTCTCGTGGGATCCTCAGAAATGGTTAAAAAATAAAAGAATGGATGTATTAATAATATGCCAGGCCTTCAAAGGCCTGGGCTTAACTCCTGGTGCTATAAAGAAAGATCGAAAGACACGAGTATTTGAGATCAATTGCCCAAATCTTCAACAAACTGCACTCAAGCACTGTCTGACTGCAAGCCCTTAAATTGTCCGAAAGTCCTGCAAGCTCCTGTCCTGCCAGAGAGCCAAATGCCCCGAATCTGGGTTGCCCCTTGGCCCAGGAATGGTCATTATGACAGGTTTTGATACCTGTAGGTATGCAGGTAGACAACACCAAATACACCAAAGGCTTGCAGTGGTCCACAGTCTCCCCTGCAGTCCTCTCTGCAATAGTTAAGATCCTCCAAGGACACAGGGTTAAACCCAAGTCTCTCAGCCTGTGGAAACCATTGGTTTATAAGAATTTGTCTGTGTCAGTGCTGTGTCAATGTACACTGTGGTCCCTGGGGTGACCTCTGGCGATTCATCCACCACCTCTGTGTGTTCATGTGGTGCAAACTTTGAGTCTATTTTTTTTTTTCCTTCTTAATCCTGGCCAAAAGCAAGATCTTCATTAGCACAGTGATTTCTTCAGTCCATTTCAGCCTTGCCAAGTCAGGGATTTAGAACTGACCTCGGGTGCAGATGCCACTGATTAACTCACTAAATGACTCTATGAGGAGCGTCAGGTTTCCTCGGCCTCTCCTCCAAGTGTCAGCTGAGTTGGACTCTGAGGAGCTCCTGAACTCTGCTGTTACGTGGATGAGATGTACAACCACTGCTATTCCTGGACATCACTACTGTCACAAAAGCAATGATTCAATATGCCAGCCAACTAATGCAAGAGGTGACAGTGCTGTCAACTAAACCATGACTCCCACAAGCACAGCTCTCAGTGAAAGCAAAAGAAGCAAATAGCTCTAGCGACTGCTTGGACTGGATTCAGATGGATCAGATCTGTAGGACCTGCCAGGACAGAAGGCAGAGTACTACCACAGGAAATACACTCACCTCATCTTTGAGACATGCACAACCTAAACATCTGCCAACCATTTCCCACCCAGCCCCCAGAGCACCTCATTCACTGATTTGAAAAAGCAAGCTGACATGGCTGTACTGCAAAAGAATAGAGGAGGATTTCACTGAATAGTTAATGGAAGTGGTAGAATGATCAAAAGCCACTTGATGTGAGTTTATTCCATTCTGTACAGAATAAATGTCGCACACAGATGATACAAAGTACACCTAAGTTTACCTGCTCCATTTCTGTTCCTGGCTAGCTTGGCATCCCTCTTCACAACAGCATATAGAGAATGATAGAATAGCCTAAGAAGCAGGCAAAGTAAATGTATTTGGATCCTACCTCGCAAAGCTTCAAGCGATCTTAGCTTTCTACCACATGATACTGTTTGCTTTGACTGCTCTCAAATCCTACTAGTTAAAGAGCAAGCTCATAAAGAGAAGGTTGACAGAAATATATCAGGCTTCCCCATGCCTGTAGGAAATGTAAACTCTTACAAACTTGAGAGCTGACATACATGAGAAGGTCACATACTGTACATTGAGCCCAGGTGAAGAGAATGTCATCATCCTGAAGGTAACTGTGAGGAAAGGAGACCTGAGATCTTCAAAGAGAAAGTGAAGAGGGAGGGAAGGATTAAACATTAGTACATAAGCAGAGCATGATAGCATGCTTTAATTAGAGGTAATGGCCAACCAGGCATACACAGTGGCTTTGCAAATTGTAAAAAGATCCAGAAGGGGCAAATAATTCCTTGAGAAAATCTATTATTTCCAACCTTTTGCATCTATTTGAGGGAAAGAGAAGTTAATGCTGATTGGCATTTTCTGAGTGTTATTTGAGCTGATTACAGCAAGGCTGATTCAAACACAGATCGGAGAGTTTGTTCACACACCCAAATAGCAAAACACAGGAGATAACACTGAGATCTGCCCCTGCTTTCAATCAGTATTCACCATCTCTCCCAACAGGCGGTTCTAGTTTGGGTAGAAGCAATGGGCTTGATGCATTAGTCAGTGCCAGGAAACCACAGTGTCAAGTAACATGTTAGCTTCAATATGAGCTGGCTGATGTCTTTAGAAACCTTCTGTAGCTTCTCTTTGAGTTTCCTGTACTATTGGATCAGAGGTCTCTGGCACCACGTAAAAGCTGCTGCTCAGATGACCTTCACTGGGTTGAAAAGTACACGTCCCCATTAGCCTAAATGACTTCAGTGACTTTCAGGGGTTTGTTTCCTGAGTGGGATGCAGCCTACATGTTTGGACACCTCATCTGTGCCCTGGGTTAACTAGAGCTCCAGTCAAAACACCCAGTATGGTCCAGAAAGTAGTTCTGCTGTGGTGTTAGTCTTCCATGCACATTATTGAGCTGCGTTGACTGTAGTGGGCACTTAGGGCTGGATTCATTTGCCTAGACATAGGATCCTCATGTTATTTTAAACTCTGCAGGGACTCTCATCTGCCCTGTAATGTTGTTCCAGGAGGCCTGATTCTCATAAATCCCTGTTTGTACCTGTCAGCCCTAAGAGGATGTCTCAGACAACCCAAAGTGAACTGCTAGACAAGGCTCCACATTGCCCTGTAGGAGGATCCACTTAAATTGACTGGTCTTATTTGCTCAATGGCTGGTTATAGAGTTTTTTTCAAAGAAGGTATTTTTCCTTTTGCTTTCAAAACAAAATTCTCAACACCTCCTCAAACTCATTCTCATAGCAGACATTCATACAGTGCAATTGGTGGCAGCCTCAGGTTAAAACTGCTTCTGCAATTTCTTACATCAATATGTAATTTTACAGTTTACAGCAGGTGGCTTTCCCCACTGTGTGGCAGAGTAGGGCCTCTGCATAACTTAAGTCCAAGTGTAATTTATCCTCGCTTTCTCCTGTGAAGTACTGTGTTTAACACTTTCTGTTCTTCACCAGGTCAAGTGGTCATCAGCTTTTCTGGGTTTCCAGCATTTCTTCAGCACCTCCCATTGCAAACCAGTTTCATACCTGTGCACGAACACAAGCTGCTTTCCACCCTATGGTATGGCCACAAAAAGAAAGCAGTGTTGTATCTCTGAAGAGCTGCTCCAATTAATCTAGAAAAGATGCCTTTACTTTGCCTGCTGTTGCCACAACACATGCAGTCACATAGAAGATCACAGTGTAGGCATTACAGTATTATGGCCATCCATATAGATCACAGCACAGCCAGGTGCAGGTTTTCAGGGGTTCAACATCTACACCATGACCAGACTTCCCATAGAATGGAGCTTCTAAAGTCGTTGCAAGGTACAGACCAAATTTTCAAATTACTCTGCACTCCTTTGTTTCCATGGTCACCTTAATAGATGCAGAAAGTTGAACTCTGTGAAAAATCTCATCATCTGTTTGGTAAAACCTGAGCTGAAAAATTAAAGCTACCAGTCACTCCTATTTGAATTCCCTTTCCATAATTCACATACTCACTGCTTTCATTAAGAGACTAAGATGCTGAGTACTAGAAAGATCCAGCTATCCTTCAAGAGCAGTCAGCTCAGTGGAGTTCTGTGTAACAGTTACATACCACTTGGACTGTGGTAGAAAGTACCTTCAAAACCAAAGCCCCATAAGTGTGTGAAAAACATCAGAGCAGTTTTCACAAGCAAAATGCATGTTTACGTTCTATATCAGGCTAGGATACCCCTGCTGAGCACTAACCAGCAAACATTTAGCTGGCAACATCTGCCTCAGAGAGTTTGGGAATTTCACCACTGGCACATATAAAGTACTTTGGGATGAAACATGCCACAGGAGGGTAGGAGTCAACTACTATTGCATGGGAGCGTGAAGAAGCAGCAGGGAGATAAGAATGACTGAATCCACTCCCATCCTCTGCAGTCCCACAAATGTGTTTATTTAACCACTTTGATGCTCTGGGAGTTAAATAAACACAGCCTGGGGAGGGACGGAAGCAGAGCTCTGCCCTCCCAATGTTTCTTGGAAATCTACTCTGACTGCAGCATGCACTGCTCTCCTATATGTGCAGTGCTCACAACATTTTGTGTAGAAGAAAAAAAAGTCAATCAGCAAACAAAAGGCAAAATGTTTTCAATGCTCAAATTAGTATTTTTAATAACGTGTATGAGAGAGTTCCTATTGTCCATAAGAACTTCTGAATAAAACACAGAATCCAGCAAATGACACAAATGAAACTAAAATATGAAAGCTAAGAGGACAAGTCAAGGAGAGGTGGTTTTGTTACTAACCACTGTAATTGAATGCAAGGTTAAGAATTCAAGAACTTAACATTAAAAAAGAAAAAAAAAAAGACCACTTAAATTGTAAGTTTTCATAATTGTATACATTCATAAACATGTTCATTCACCACATGAAGGCAAGGAAAAAGTGAGTGAAAGACATAAAAAATCTTATTCCTTGCTCTGTCCGTTTATCCTCAATTCTCTGCTGTTGCCAGATCACATACAAGCACAAATCAGCTTCAGCCGCAGCACTTAACAGGGAGGATGACCAGCATTAAAACAAAAATGTTTTGGTTTAATCTGTTCGAATCCTAGACTTCGTTAGCAGAATTGATTCAATCAGAGGTGGTTTCACTCAGCTAGTGAAAACTCAGCTTCAGAGCTGGTGCCTTCAAGGAATGCTCACAAATTTCCTAAGCCCAGAATGTCAGCTGACATGTAGCTCTTCAGTTAAAATGTTTGGGACAAATTCTATTCTCAGATACTGCATGTATGTAAGTCTGGACAAATCCCATTTATATCAGAGGCTCTTGTCTAGGTTTATTCCGCAGGAAATTAACATAGAAATTGGTTCTTTGTGTCTTTTAGCTTTCAGGCTATTTAAGTGAATCTTCCACTAATATGAAGGGCAGAAGTAGTCACCCACAGCCTGCTCTGGCAGCACAGGCTGATCAAGTGTTGTTCATCCTTGAAAAAAGCAGCAGAAAAGAAAAAGGCATCTGTACCAAAATTCAGTTTCTGGCTGTATCAGTATGCAAAAAAAGTTCAAATTGCTCTTGTCTAAGAGTGAAAGTAAAAACTCGGCTTCTGTTAACTTAGCTAGTTATAAACATAAAATTACTTAAGGAAAAATAACACCACTTGCAGATCTTCCAGTTTGAAGACAGCTGCCTGTGGAGCTACACATACAGCTGGGTGGTGGCTCACATGAGCAAAGCACAGTGTAACTCACTGTTGTCACGCATTATACGTTGGAGATTTCAGTAAAGTGTCTGAGAGTGCTCTCACTGAATTACATTTACTCTGCAACTCAGTGGAACGTAGTATGGGTCCAGTTTCGTGAGGCACTGAATACACACAATTTTCATTGCATTTGGCAAAAGCAGGCAGCATTGAGCACCTTGCAAGCTCACATCCTGAAAACAGATTGTGCCATATATAAAGTGAAAAAACAGCTCTGAGCCCTGGCAATGATATCACTGTAAGCTGGGAGTGCATCAGTACAAAAGTGTTTCTAACTTCCCTTCACACCCCTCTCTGATGCTGTCCAGACACTTTCAAGCTTTCACCCACCCAGCCAGATGAATTTTGCATTGAGACGACTTCTGAACTCTGTTTTACGAGTCCTTTTCTCTTACCTATCAAAAACCACAGCAGCGTAGGCTGGCTCTGCAAAGATGACATCTCCGGGCAAGAATTCCTTCTGTGCTTTCAAGCCCCTGCCTTTGCCTTCAGTCGTGAATACTTCAACTGACTCCATTACCCCTCTGGTCATTCCCAGGTACCTTGCAGTGAGACAAATCTTCCGTCACCCCTGTCAACTTCGCCTTGCCACAAGACCACGTTTATAAAAGGGCCGGCCTACCCCCACCCCCAGCTGCACCGTATCCCATAGGAGGGAGAGGGGGTGGGAGCATGAAAGGCAGGAGGAGATCTTCCACGCACTATTGCCGACCTACACAGGGCAGGGTCTTCTGCTTCCTAAGAAACCCCCTCCAAAAACCACGTTTGGAATTGTTTCTCCCAGCCACAAGCAATTGTATATGTTAGGACTCAGACTAATTTATACTCTCCCATTGGAGAGGGAATGTATTCTCTTTGCAAGGGTATTTTTAGCAACCACATGCTTCTGTCTCTCAGGAAGCAACAGCTGAGACAGTGGGATAGGGAGTGCTGGTATGTGTATTTTTGACCCCTTCCACTGTCATCTGGCTTTTTCCAGAAATTAAACAATGCTGCTTTATTTTTACCCTCTATGAGATGGACGGTGTGTTTAGAGGCAGGGAGCGCAGCGAAACATGTGTCCTGCAATCCTCTGCCTCTTCCATCGCTGGAAAAGGAGCGACACTTCCCAAACACCACCAACAAGCACAGAGCAGCATGGAAGGAGCTGGAAGAGCAGCAGTGGTTTGGCACGAGCTGCAGAAATAAGAAAGGACATCTTAGATATTTGCACATTTCTGGATGCACTAAATTCTTCGAGATTAAAAAATGTTTGAGGGCTTCCTACCTCCAACCCTGGAAGAGATGACTCAAGGCCAGGCTGGATGTGGCTATGGGCAGTCTGGTCTAGTGGTTGGCGACCCTGCACATGGCAGGGGGCTGGAACTAGATGATCATCGTGGGTCTTTTCAACCCAGCTCATTCTATGATTCTATGAGAGAATTTGCCCCACTCTAGTGTAAAAGGAGGATGTAGGACAACCAGGGAGAACCCAGTCCCTTGTTTTGTCTTCTGTCCCCAGCAGGCAGTGTATGTAAAAAGGAAGGCTTCCACATACAGCAGTTAATCTCACTATAGAAATTGATCCCAGTTTAGATTTTCATTTAGCTTTTATGTTTTTTCTTCTAATAGCATTTTGTGAGGCTGGTTCTTGGCCATCTCAACCTCCCACTGCTGGGAAACCTGATTCTGTTTCCTTCTGGAAAAGGAAACAGATACAGGTACACCACACAAATGTCATTATTTGCTCTTCTAACACCTCTTTGCTGTACTGAAAACCAGAATGGATTAACAGGGAAAGTGAGGCACGGGGAGGTAAGGAGGATAACTCCTGTGCATCACTTGGCTGTAAATGAAATGTTTTGCCTAGCCAAGGCCACGGAAATTATTGTTGTCCACTTCAAGGCAGTCTCAGAACTGCTTTGCATCTCTGAAAAGCTTTTGGCAAATTTCCTTTCCTGCAAATGAAGTACCGCACTTCAGTTCCAATATCCTGTGTTATGGTCTGCCCGAGCGTGCCAAGCACAAGCAGTATCAATCCACAACTCTATAGACTCAGGGTGATCCAGGCGCTCATGTGATTATTAGCAACTTTGCCTTAGAACCACATGACTCCAGCTCCCACTGAGGCTGACAGAGCTGACTGCACGAACCTCCACATATTTATTCTGTGCAGTGCGTAAAAATCAGCAGAAGCAATCAGCCTCTGGAACAGTTTGACTTTTAATTGCAGCAGTCTTTTGGTGTCACATCCAGATCCTCAGTGCCACAGAGCCAACATTTTGGACCCAAGCTGTCATACGCACACCCATCTGGTTTACCCACCAGATACGGTGGTAAAACTTAAATTACTGTGGTAAAAACTGCGGAAAAAAAAATCGCCGGGAAGGCTGGACCTCTCCAGGAGAGGCTGGGTGACGGGGAGCCCTGCTGAAACGCCCGTTTGTTGGCTCTCCTTTCAGCGCCGTGGAACCAGGACGTTTCAAAGCCTCCCGGAGAGCGCATTTCGCAGGGCTGAGGAAGGCTGACCAGTGAGACTGAGGGCGATGGACGATGCACGGAGCGTTGGGCGGCGATGCGGGCGCTCTGGGCGGGGCGCGGGGCGGGCTGCGCGCCCTGAGGGGAGGCGGAGGGCGGGCCGGGCCCCGCGGGGGGTTAACCGGCCATTCCAGCCCTCAGGATGAAGCGGCGCTGGGCTGGGCCGTGGGAGGGGACCGCTGAGATGAACTGGCCCTCAGAGCTCAATTATAGCCGGCTCTGGCCCGCAAAGAGGCTCCGAAGGCGGCCGCCCCAAGGGCGAGGTGAGCGGCGGCGGCGGCGAGCTTCGTGTGAGCGCAACCGCCGTCCCAGGGGCTGTAAGTGAGGGTGCGAAGCTCCGTGTGGAAAAGGCGAGGCTCTGAGCCAGCTGCCACCACAGGACCCCCGCGTGGAGGCTGCCTCACATGTCGGAGTATCCATCAGTGTGTTATCCCCGTGTATATTTCATTTCCAGCCTCAAATCTCTGCCCTGTGTAAGCTAGATGTGTAAAATACCGCTCTCTCAAGCTCCTGCTGGAGGAGAAGCGGCTATTTCATGCCTTCCCTGCAATACACATCGTGATGGTGGAAGTGACAGGAATGCACTTGTGCTGTTCTCTGTGTGAAATGGCTTTGTGTGATGCCTGTGGCTAGAAGTAATGAGAATTTGACCCAAAGCAGAAATTAATGAGCAAAGTGCAGTGGGAGGCTTGTCTGTGTCCCAGGTGTGTAAGAGCAGATAAGGTATCTAACAGCTCCAAAGTCATTCTGAGCTCTTAAAAGATGGCCTTCCGTTCTTCAGAAATGTTCTGGCTTCATAAGCCAACGTCATACTTCTGAGAGTAAGCTGCCCAACAGGGTACTTTCGTACATCAGATCTGTGACACAGAGCTCTGAAAATCAATCTTGCAGTTGGAAAGTTCCTGTCACGTCCCAGTTCCATGTCCTCTCCTTCCCAGAAAATCTGTGGGATGTCATCCTGCTAAAGATCTAGCAAGTGGGGTGAAAAAAGTGCTGAGCTTCCTGGAATGTCAGATCATTCATAGTGGTTATATAGTATTTGTGTTTTGAAAGGATTTGGTTCATGCTTTTAAGCACTGACTGTTCAGTTCATAGAATCATTTGAGTTGGGAAGGACCCTTAAAGGCATCAAATCCAGCTCCCCTGCAATGAGCAGGGACACCTACAGCGCTCAGAGCCCCATTCAGCCTGACCTTGAGTGTCTGCAGGGATGGGGCATTCACCACCTCTCTGGGCAACCTGTGCCAGTCCTTCACCACCCTTACAGTAAAAATCTTCTTCCTCATATCCAATGAAGAATCTCTCATCCAATCTCTTCTCTTTTAGTTTGAAACAATTTCCCCTTGTCCCGCCACAACAGATCCTGCTAAAGAGTCTGTCCTCTTCTTTCTTATAGCCCCCTCCAGACTTTAGATACTGAAAAACACCAAGCCAGCCTCACATAACAATGCATAAACATGGCCTTTTGTGAAATATTTGAAACATCCATTAACATCCAAGATTTCCCTACTGTCAGTTAAATTTAGTAGTACTCTGTTGAACAGAAATAACTCCAGAGGAATTAATCACTCTTAGATTAAAAACTGACAGCTATTTTAAGCAGCCAGCTTTTGGGGGGAAAAAAGCTGCACAAGTATGTATATTCAAAGGAACAAGTTATGAACATGCTCTTGTTATTAGGTTTAAATTCATTTTTTTCACTTATGCTCTTATGACTGAGTTGTCATTTTCCTGAACTTCAGAATATTTTGAGCCAGGCACAGCAAGGATCCCTGGTTATATACATACATATTTCATTCAAGGCCAGGCTGGATGTGGCTCTGGGCAGCCTGGTCTAGTGGTTGGTGACCATGCACATAGCAGGGGGTTGAAACCAGATGGTCGTTGTGGTCCTTTTCAACCTAGGACTTTCTATGATTACTTGATATGATTCTATGATTATATGGTTGTCACTTCATAGAATCATAGAATCACTCAGATTGGAAAAGACCTTACAGATCATCGAGTCCAATCACAACCTAACCATACTACCCTAACTCTCACAACTATCTGCTAAATCACGTCCCTGAGCACCACGTCCAAACGGTTTTTAAACACATCCAGGAATGGTGACTCAACCACCTCCCTGGGGAGCCTATTCCAGTGCTTAACAACCCTTTCTGTAAAGAAGTGTTTCCTAATATCCAACCTAAACTTACCCTGGTGCAACTTGTGGCCATTTCCCCTCGTCCTGTCACCAGTGAAAAGAGACCAACCCCGCTCTCACTGTAAGCACCTTTCAGATATTGGAAGAGAGCAATATGGTCTCCCCTCAGCCTCCTCTTCCCCATACTAAATAGCCCCAGTTCCTTCAGTCGCTCCATGTAGAGCATATTCTCCAAGCCCTTCACAAGCCTTGTTGCTTTCTTTGGACTTGCTCCAGCACCTCAATGTCCTTCCTGCAGTGAGGGGCCCCAAACTGAACACAGTACTCGAGGTGAGGCCTCACCAATGCCAAGTACAGGAGCAGGATTACTTCCCTAGTCCTGCTCACCACTCCATCCCTGATCCAAGCCAGGATGCCATTGGCCTTCTTGGTCACCTGGGCACAATGCTGGCTTGTATTCAGCCGACTGTCCATCAGTACACCAAAGTCCCTTTCCATCAGGCAGCTTTCCAGCCACTCTTCCCCAAGCCTGTAAGGTTGCCTGGGGTTGTTGTGACCAAAATGCAGGATCTGACACTTGGCCCTATTGAAACTCACACAGTTAACCTTGGCTTATCGATCCAGTCTGTCCAGGTTTCTCTTCATACCTGTGCCAAACAGAGCTATGATGTAGATGTCACTGAAAATTTCTGGTATTACATACTTGTTAGGGGGAGGAGGGCAGGTATTCATTTCTTAAATACAAAACTAGAAATAATGTTTGGCCTTGGAAATTTTCTGTGGCAAAATTTTTTGCTAATTTATTTGCACACACAAATGCTTTTAATACATATATTTTTTTAGGGGGGAAGGATGTTTTTTTAAGGGGTTTCTTTTGGCTCAGTGGCAAGAAGATATGAACACTTGATACCTGTAAGTGTATAGTTAATCTGTAGTTTACAACCATGCTTTTTCAAGACTCAATACGTAGCACATTCTCATGCTATAAATTACTAATTTTCCTGTCTCCCTCCTTTTGTATTCTGCAAATCTTCATTCTCTGCATACAAGATGGGGGAAAGGTATTTCTTAGGAGATCCAAGGAGCAAATAGGGAAATGGGTCTGCTGTCTTGTTGAAATAAGTTAACACCTAGCAAGGAAACTAATAGCTTATCCTGCAGTAGTTAATTGGTCTAATGCTAATGTTACTTTAAGAGTAACCAGCCTCCCCATGTAGACTTCAATCAGCTTTCTGATGTACCCAATTAACATCTTGATTGCCTTTGAACGAGTGCAGATAGATTTAAATATGCCCATAGAAATTTTTAAAAGTAATAGTAACATCAGTATGTTTTCTGAAATCCTAAGGTTTTGTTTTTGTGTGTTAGTTTGTTTTGAAACATCAACTTACTTGTATTGCAGTAAGTTGTAAACTCTGTTCTAAAAGCAGAATGGCTGATTTCAGTCTGCTTCAGCTGTGCTGATCTGGCTGTTCTGGTTGTGTTGGGATGTAGGGAGCAGAAGTCCTTGAGATGGTCAGAGAGAGGGGGCAGTAGGAACAGGAGGCTGTGGGCCAACAGGGAGAAAAAGGAAGAGAAGCAAGGAACTGGGTGATTGATTTACTGTATTTCTATCTTAATACTTTCAAACAGTTTCATCCACAGCACTGTCTAAGGGAGGCAGTGAAGTGTCTTTGTTCCTGTTTCACCCTGGGCAAAAGGGTGAACACTGTGCTTTCCATCAATTGTAAGCTCCTCTTGTTTTGTGTCAGGGTAGGTCATGGGTCTCTCCAGTGCTAAAAAGTGGTTAGCATTGTTTTGAGTTTAGTTTTGCAATGTTTGAGCAACACTGTATTTAACCCTTATTTGGATGGTGTAGTTGTATGCTCCATAAGCTTGTGCTTGTGTGCAGGGTTAGGCACACGTCCTCGTCAGCTTTGTGGTAGAATGTGGCATTTGAAAATGCCTATAAATATTTTTAAGTTATATTTTTATACTATTCTGTGGGGGAATAACTGTATGCTTTGGATGGTAAAGCTAGTTTTAGAAGTGTGCTGGCAGTTCAGCTTTTCAGCATTTGTTTTCAAAGAATAGAGTCCAATTTGGTATTTGTTTGTTTTGCAGCCCCCTGAGTTTTGACAGGGGAATAATAATAACACAAATACAACACTGACTAAACTCACTTGAGAAAATAAAAATGTAGTGCTACTATATTGTTTCATTAGATGAATGTCTCTCACTCAGCTGCAGAAATGGAAATCCATCTGGTTCATCCAGGAATTCAGTTTTGTAATACCACACTTCAATGGGTTTGATGAGGGTTTTAGAGCCTGTTACATTTGTCTGCTCTCCCTGAGTTGGATGTCTGTGGATATCCATTCCCATTTACTTCCAAGGTTGCTTTCTGACTTCCATTGCATAGCAACCACATCTGCATGCTGTATTGTGACCAAAAGAAACTGGATGTCAGCGATGCTGTCTGCCTCCAGTTTTGTTCAGCTGCTACCTTGAGTATTCAAGCTTTTGTTCATCTTTCATGCTGTTATTTAGGGAATAAATCAGATTTAATAGGAAAGCTATTCTCATGTTTAAATGAATGCAGTATGATCACCTAATGACAAGCAGTAGAGTTTGCAGCCAAATAAAATTGCTGCTGGACAGCTGAGATGAGGAGATGCACTGTGTGCAGGCTCTTGCCCTTCTTGCTTGTAGACTAAAGCAAGGTAGTGCAGTGCACATGATTTGAATTAAATTACTTTACTTTGTGGCTGGGACAGGCTTCAGTATGGGCTGTCAGGTGCTGGTCTGAGACTGATAGGTGGTGGCTTGGTAAGATGCAGTGACCCCACTGCTTGTGGCTATGCCTTGGAGAGAATAACATGGGTCAGAAGTCATCTGTTGATGAGTTGTAATTGAACTTGGCTCCATCTATTTCTTTGTAAAATGCTATGTTTGCTGCTGGCACTTGAGGGCAGAACTTGGCTATGTCATATTCTGGATTTAATACTTTGAATTTGAAATTTCATATCTTTGCCTTTAGGGATTTCTCTAGCCTCTACTCTTTCCTTACTATGTTATTCTGCTCTCAGTCTTCTGTGTCCCCAAGAATTGAGAAAGAAAAATTAATAACGGACAGAGGCTTATCTGGGATCAGGAACACTTAGCACCTCACTCAGGAGCCCAGGGAAGGAGATAGTTGTTCTGATACTTGTGGAGGTTCTGCATACATTAAGGAACCTTCTGGTTGCCTGGAAAAGAACCTGGAGCTGAAACAGGCTGAGATTCCTGGTGTGGTGGTGCAGTTATTAATATTAAAGATTTGAGAGGCCTGGTAAGAAGTTTATCTACTTGTCCTCTGTCACCCATGGCCAGACCTTGCTGTGAGTGAGGTGATACTGAGAACATGGCCACTTCCTACTAAGATACCAGTCTGGTCAGTGGGAATTTCTCTGGCCTGGAAGCCAGAGAAAATTCTTACACTTCTTTGTGCTACCCTGGAAGACGTCTACCAACCTACCAGTCGACTTTATCATGTAGTGTGATGGTTAAAATATATATAAAATCTTGTCTCTTCTTTCTTAAGTGTTCTTATTCCTATCTTTTTATTAAGGAGCAGTCCCTCTGTGACAAGAAGTAGCTGGTCTGTTTTGCAGTGAACCATCTTTTTAATGATACAATGCTGACCTGAATAGTTCTGAATTGATGATAGCTGTAGCTTTATTTAAAAATTTTTGAGGCTTAGAAATGACAGGGTCAAAATAGCAGTCCTGAAAGGCCTCTGCTTGAATCTCTGACAGGTTTCTGATGGTGTGGTTGTGAACTGCAAGGTAAGCTGGTTTTTAAGTTTCTCTCAGTTGCCAGGAAAGATGTCTTGTGCATCTGAAAGCTGAAGACCTCAAGTTCAATTTACTATTCATAGAAGTAGCTGTGCGCAGACAGTGGTAGCATAAATCTCCCCATGCTCTGTCATTTTTGTGTGTATCACAAATGGTCTGGAAGCACAGTGAAAAGGAGAAGGGACAGACTTCTTCCTTCCTTGGAAGTGAGCAGTGTGATTTAGTGAAGGGCACTGTTGATGTGTGTGGGAAGGGGACTGCAGTTACTCAGGTCACACTGAAGACCATCTACAACTTGGAGTCTGGTGAGGATTTAAGTGGGAGTTGCACTGGTTTATTCCTGAATTTCCATTCATACAAATTCATCCCCCAACCTGGGGAATGAAAGGATTGAGTGCAGCCCTGCCAAAAAAGACCTGGGGTTACTGGTGGATGGCAAGTTGGATATGAACCAGCACTGTGCCCTCACAGCCCAGAAAGCCAACTGTATCCTGCATCAAAAGAAGTGTGGCCAGCAGTGTGAGTGAGGTGATCTTGCCCCTCTGCTCTGTGCTGGTGAAACCTCACCTGAAGTACTGACTCTGAGGTGACTTCACACTCCCCTATAAAGACAGGCTGGGGGAGCTGGGCTTGTTCACCCTGGAGAAAAGAAGGCTGCGGGGTGACCTCATTGCAGCCCTTCAGTATCTAAAGGGAGCCTACAAACAGGAGGGGAATCAACTCTTTGAAAGGGTAGATAACAGCAGGTTAAGGGGAAATGGTTTTAAGTTGAGGGAGGGAAGATTGAGGTTGGATGTCAGAGGGAAGTTCTTTACAGAGAGATTGGTGAGGTGCTGGTACAGGCTGCCCAGAGAGGTTGTGGATGCCCCATCCCTGGAGGTGTTCAAGGCCAGATTGGATGGAACCCTGGGCAGCCTGGTCCAGTATTAAATGCAGAGGTTGGTGGCCCTGCATGTGGCAGGGGGGTTGGAGCTTCATGATCCTTGAGGTCCCTTCCAACCCTGGCCATTCCATGATTGATCATCAGTATCTAAAGAGGAGCTACAGAAAGAAGGGAACAGACTCTTTAGAAGGGTCTGTTGTGCTAGAACAAGGGGAAATGTTCTCAAGCTCAAAGAGGGTTGATTTAGGTTAGATATAAGGAAAATATTTTTTATGTTAACAGTGGTGAGGCACTGGCACAGGTTGCCCAGAGATGTGCTGGATGCCTGGAGACTTTCAAGGCAAGGCTGGATCAGGCCCTGAGCAACATGCTTTAGCTGTGGTGTCCCTGTTCATTGCAGGGGAGCTGGACTGGGTGGCCTTTAAATGTTCCTTCCAACTCTAAGGATTCTATGATCCTATGCAGTTTGTTGTAAGACAGAAGAGGAATGCAAAGTGCAGGGCAAATATGTTTGCCAGAAAATCAGCTAGGACTACAGAGAATAATAAGAATATGTTTATATGTACTGATTTTCATATGGTTTGTGTCTGAAGTTATGAGATGATGGGTTTTATATCAATTCATGCATTTTAGGGGCAAGATAAGTTTTCAACTCATGCCAGGAACCAAGTAATTAGGTTTTCTTGTGTGGACCAAATCCTGTTATTGTGTCCATCTTTCACTCCTGTGCTTGAAGGGGTAACCTGTATAAATCAGTAACTATAGAATATTGAATATGGCTGGATGAGTCACACTACAGAAAACGGCTTTCAAGGAGTAGTTACCTGGCCATTGTAACTCCTGAAAATAAAGTTTTTATTAGGAAATGCATTCACATATCAAGGAACAATGGTAAACCACGCTCAGACAGAGGTGTTTTGATACACATTTCGACACTCATTGGAGCAGTTTTTCTCCATATAACTAAAAGAAATAAATCAGTGTATGGGACATGGGTGCAACCTTTGCAAGCTTCTGAGACCTCTTGGCCTTATCTCATGCACTGAGCTGCTCCCTGACTTTCTTTACATCTTTCTTTAAAATGTATTCCCATATTTGAGTGTGTGACCTAGTCTAACTAAAATACTTCCCGTATTTTAGGCCATTAGTCTAGTATATCTGAGAGTATGACCAGAAAACCCAATGAAGAAGCTTTATCTTCCTTGATTTTAAGGTACCTGAAGTCCAAGTACATGTACAGTAATATTCTTTCAGTCCACGACGGAAATACCTCTGTATGTAGGAAGGTGGAGGTGGCTTTACAGCCTTGCTCTGAAGCTACAACAAGGCATGGTGTGATTCAGTGGATGAACATTGGTTCCCTCATCTGCTGTGTGAATATTCAAGTGGTCAATATTTTGTAAGCAAAGGCATGCATGTGTATCTTGTCCTGTCTCCTGACTGTTTTTTGTTGTTTGTTTGTTTGTTTTTTCAGGATGTTCAGAAGAAATATTAGATGAGGCAACAAGGCACCACCTGTTCACAGACACTTTCTGTAGGGTTTGCTGGGTGGTGCTGCCGTTTGAATCCCAAAGGATGTCACACTATGAGGTAGCCTGGAAGAGAGGATTTCTCCTAGCAAGTACTGGGGCTTTGGTTTGTTTGAGGTTTCTGTATGCTGTTAGAAAAGGCTGCTTAAAGCCTTTCTTGAAGCTTATGCTGGGCTTAGACATTAGCCAGACTTGAAGGTTGTGAATGATGTGGGTTCAGTGGTAGTGAAGAGCAATCACCTGCATATTGCAGGCTGGTTATAGAAGGAACTGGGTAGGTTCAGGCCATGCTGTATATGGGATGGAAGCAAATTTGCACCATGTGACCCAGGTCATAAGTGTGGCATGGGGCAGTGCTAACTGTAGAGAGTAGGGGTCGTGCCCCCTGATGCTTTACCCAGCAATACACACATGCTGCTATGTCTGCCAGTATCTTCACAAGGCAAGTTGTATGAATCATGCTGCAGGCATTTCTTGGAACAAAAGTATGCCTTGGGATAGTGCTATAGACATAGGAAGGTGAGCTTTATTTTGAAACTTAATCCTGAAAATTTGCAGGTACAGATGTTTCATTTTCTTGCTGAAGTTAAAATGTCAGTTGCTCTCAGGAGTCTTTTTTGCTATTCTCATCAATTAGTATTCAGGTCTTGTAAGGTGTAATACTTCCTTACTTTGATTTATGTTAAGCAGCACTTTTACTGTCAGAAGTACAGAGTTCAGACCCTCAGTTGGAATTTCTGTTTCTAGGATCCAAATCCAGTTGAGCATAACAGATGCAATTGTAATGGTGAAATCAGAACTTCAGGGTGAATTGATATGAAAATAAAGTTCTTTTTTTCCAGGTTTGCTGATGTTGTCTAGTCAAGTATGGTAGCACCTCTTTCTCTTGGTAATATTGTCAAGATTTCCTAATGCTACTTCTCCAAATCCTTAACAGACTCTTGGAAAGCATTAGATTAGAGAAGACAAGTCACTTGTTTGGCTTTGTGTGTTACCTGTGTATAGTGTAACATGTGGGTAAGTACACTATGAAAGTGCAAGAGATGGAAGGTTATGTGTTGAGAGAGCATCTAAGAATTAAAAAGTAATCACAGATGAAGGAGGTATGCATAACACCCAAGTTTAGATACTTGGGCTATTGGATCCTGAGACCTGTTTTGGATGAATGAAATTCCTGTTGCTGGATATACCACTTCTTGGCCCCTTATTAACAGAGCAGGAATAATTCTAGTTTCTTTTCAGGGCAGAAAGCATGCTCAGAATGTTTATCTTTATGTCCGAAGTCGTGGTAGGAAGGATGAGAGAATGAGGCATGACAAAAAGAAAGAAATAATGGATTGTACCAGTTTTCAGGTGACTATTCTTCTTCATGGCTATCTGAAGTGTTTTCTTGTCCTTCAGTGAATGCTTGTGTAACTGAGCTTGCCTTTGCTTAATTTCAGATGGATGGAATGAGGATAGTAGAGAATAAGTACTGTAATATCTGCAACATAATTTTAGTTTCCCCAGATGTTGCATTGTCTCACCTCCGGGGGAAGATCCATGCTAAAAAGCTGAGGCAATTAGCAGAAAAGAGAAGCCTGATGGAAGCACAGAGCATGCAACCTGTTTCTGGTAAGAACTAAATTTGCACTGCATGTATTTTTCTGTCACTCTCTGCAACAGATATAAAAAGGTGCTGTCCTAAACCTGCATGTCCGTATGCCTCCCTGTTCTGCCTAAGTCATGGAGCTGTCATATGGTAACTCTTTGGGTGAAAAAATATGGTGACTACCCTGTACAACTCAGAAGCTAGGGAAGCCTGCCTTCAAATTTTTTTCATCTTTCTAACTAAAGGCAAATATTTCTGATTATTAATGAACATGTTTACTGTTGCTCTGAATTCTAACTGCGGTCCAAACTCAGTTTGATAAATTAGCATATTTAATTAAAAAAAAATAATAAATTAGTCCACAAGCAACAGTGAGCTGGTGTGAGTGCTGTGCAAGTTGCTTTCAGGATTGAACATAGCAAATGTGTTCTGAATCACCCTCTCTATGGTAAAGCTTTCTTCTTAGATCTTAGAGTGACCAGCAGTCAAACTCATAGATATTAATACAGGTTTTCTGTTCCTTCAGAAACTGAAATGCCTTCATCATCTCCAAAAGCAAGCTTGGATCTGAACTACTGCTGGCTCTGCTGTGTTCCTTTCAATAGTCCATTTTCAGCCCAGGAACATTATGTTGGTAAAAAACATGGAAAAAATGCAGCACGGAAGAAGATAATGGAGGAGATGGGAATCATACCTGTCCCTAGAGAATCCAGAACAACTGGTAAGCAGAACATGAAAAAGTGAGGGCAGTTTGAGTGTTCAAGGAGCAGCTCTGATATTTGGAAGGAAATGTTAGCCTTCTCCTTTGCTACGGGACAAGTTCACTTCCTCCTTTCTGTTAGTTTGCCATTCTGAAGTTCTTTGTCTCTGGCAATTTTAGAAGGGGAGATATTTCCTGTTGACTTTGAGACACTAATCCAGTTATTACTGGAGTCAAATCAAAGAGATTATAAAAAATAGCTGAGTTTTCTTAACCCCAAGGCCAGGATCAAATCAATCTTAAGACCTTCTGTGCTAGAAACTCCACAACAACCTCCATAGGAAAGATTTCCCAAGAATTCTTGAACTTTACCTTCTTGATCTTAAAACCCTTTACTGACACTGAAATTGACACCCTATGACTACAGTGTCTCTCTTCATTCTGCACAGAACAAGAAGCAGATATAAAAATTGAATAATTTGTTTCCTTTTTGTTGCATTCATGCCTTTCCTTAATCTCTGTTCACCAAACTGATAGCTGTAAGTATTTCAGTCTTGCCCCACAAGGAAACTTGTTTCCTAAATGGTCATTATTCTCAAACCTTCAAAGGCTCCATTACTGTCTTCTAGCTTACAATGTATGCACTAACAAGTTGCATGATAAATAGAGCTATTACACGCACTATTGTGCCAACATTATTACCTCTGAGAGAAAAATTAAACAAAAGATGTGAAATAGAAAAGATATCATGTAACAGACTTAAGATATTAGAATACATTTGGTATAAAGTTGTATAACAGAAGATAATAATGTGACACTTGAATAAAGAACTGAACCAAATTAATAGCTTAGTTTCAGTTCTTTGTAATTGTGATTGAAACAATCATTTTGTCTATGTGCTGAAGCACAGTTTTGAAAGCAGGAAAGTGACTTCTCAAAAACCATTCTTCCGGAGAATATTTCTCAGGATTAAGGAAGATCTTTTACAGCTTTTCTATATCAATTCCTTTTGAGTTCTTTCTGTGGCCTACCAGTGGCAATCATGAGGTCAGGAAACTGGATTTTCATTTTCATTTTATGTTTAGCAGTATTATTGATTAACCAGCAGCAAGATAAAAATATATCTATTTTTTTGTAACAATCCACTTTTTTAAGAAGCTTTAATATTAAGGACTCTTCTTGAATGCTATTAAACAACAGATTTAAAAGGAGAGTAGGACCTACAGCCTTTTCTTTTTGTAAGATAACTTAGAGGCATGTTAATTTATTTCTATTAAATCAATCTACCATGGTGGCATTTAAGGATATAACAAATGAGATAATTCCATAGCTTACAAAATGGCAAATAATTCCCTTGGAGATTCCTTCAAAAATCTCCCGTGGATTCCATGTATCTCAACAAGAAGGATAAAATGCTCTTCTGTGTCACACATAATGCAGTGGGTAATATGAGTTAAGTTAGGGTAATGTGGTTAGATTGTGGTTGGATTTGATGATCTTGAAGGTCTTTTCCAACCTGACCAATTCTATGACTCTTCTAAGCCTTCCACCAGTCCCATTCCAACAGCTCCACATCCTTCCTGTGCTGGGGCCATTAGGTCTGGACTCAGAACTCCAGATGGTACCTTAAAATGGCCACCCCTTTTTTTTGATGTAGCCCAGGGTACTGTTGGACATCCAGGCTACAAGTGCACAGTGCTGGTTCCTGTCCAGCTTTTCATCCACCAGGCAAAAAAACAAACAAACAAAAAAACAAAAAACAAATCTATTTTGTTCAGTGCAACAGTCCATTGAAATCCATGCTGCATTTTGCCAATGTGTAAAGCTCTTGGGTTTGTGTTGGGGAAAACATTTGCTGTTTTATTTGTTAAATACATATATCTGTAGTGACACAGCTTTGCAGCTTGTAGGAGAGGAGAACATGACAACCTGGGAAGCATAAGGTTTTCCTCATCTGACCTTTACTTAGATTTGTCAAAGTCTCTGTATGGTGTATTCATAACATAGTGTTTGACAGTTTTCTCAACATCTAAAGAATGGTTACACTGCAGTAGTACAGCTGCATTTATAAATACTGTTGGAGTATAAAACTGAGTTACCTTGCAGCAGAGTCTTTGTATCACTTCTGGAGCTGGTTTGGGGAACATTATATTATATGTTATTGTGATTTGCTTTGGATTTTGCCTTCATCTGTAGTCTTTCTAACCTACAGGTTCCTTCTTTTCTGTGATTGGGTTTGGCCATTACATATGCCCTGTTTGCAATGTTGAACTTACAACTATACTTGAGTACCAGTCCCACATGCAAGGAAAAAAGCACAAGACCAAGTAAGTCAGGAAGTCTTTTGTTACCCTATAGCATATACTTTCAAGTTTCTATGAAAGACTTTGCTTCGTCATTAGCCCTGTTTTGTGCTGTCAAAGATCTTCAAGTTACTGTTTTTTATCATTGTTTTGTTTTGTTTTCATTTGATTCTGCTTAGTTTTACTGTCTTTAAGAGTGACTGTCCATTTAAATTTCCTAGTTATGTCTGATGTTCTGTCTTGGAGTTGTCACACTTGCATCTTCCATGGCAGCTCACAGAAAAGGTTTTGGAAATTGTGGTTTTCTCCACATACTTTGCTATCCTCAAATATTTGCTTCTTTGGAAACAGTAGCACCTATTTTGGCACAGTGTCTTCTGTGCTTAGTCTTTTGGAAATGGTCTGAACTTTAAGATTCCTATTGACAGCAAATAAGGCTCTAATACTAGAAAGTGCAGGTTTTCCACAGATGGTGTCACCTTAAGGGTTCATCATGCATCTTATGTTTGGTGTAAGATGTTGTTTGGAATAGATGATAGCTCTTCCTTTCCCTTTAACCTAAAGAAGAAATTGTAGCTTTTCTTAACTGTGGAATGGCAATTGTACACTTTTATCACTACCTTTTTGAAATCCCTCTTCAGTTAGGGCCAAATATCAAAATTTCATTCATGTTAGGCATGGTTGGGAAGACGTATGTTATATGAAGGTGCAATATAGTATAACAGCAGTAGTGTGACTGAATGTATTTCCTGTAACTTCAGCTGATTTTTGCAGATAGAATCTTGCGTTAGAGGTTTCACATAGATACACAGAACAGCACACTTGGAATAGGTCCTTTCTTGTAGCTCTGGAAATAGTTTTATTATGCATGTCTCTCTGCCTTCATGACTAACTCAACAGATCCTAAGCAAGTTGATCAATATTAATAACTGATTTTTCTATCCAGTTTATGCAGAGCGACAAAGATTTGCAGTCTCACAAAGAGATCAAAGAAAACTTACTACTCCTTTCAAGCTCAGGAACCTATATGTCTTGAGGAAAGAATGGATTTGAGAATAGCAGAAGAGTTTCAAGATGGAAACCTTGGTGAGGTTAAGCCTTCAGCCTTTATCTGTGAACAAGACCAGCATTCCAGCCTTTTCTCAGAAACCCAGACACCTACAAATACTGGGAAAAAGAGATCAAGTCGCTCATCAGCTTGTGAGCACACACAAGAAAATACACCAAATTGTCAGCATAACACAGCACACTGCATAGAAGGGCGAGCATTTGGGGCAGCTGCCATCACAGATGGCTTTGGTCTGTCAGCTGTAGAATCTGAAGAGTATTGCAAACTTGTGCTCGCTGAAACGTTTAGCATCTCCTATAGAAAAGAACAGAATCTTCAGGTAGAATATACTGAGGAGAAAAAGTACATCAGTGAAGAGTTGAAGTGTAAGAAAGAAGACTCAAAACTGAAAAGAAAGGAAGATAGTGAAGATGCAGACTTGGAGAAAGAAAGAAAGAAACGAAAGCGAATTAAACTTGATGTAGACTTAGTAAATGAAAAGACATCAAGACCTAATAAAGATGAGAGGCTTAAAAAAAAAACTGCTAAGAAACAGAGAAAGCGCATAAAGAATCAACAGATGTCCCAGATAGAGATCAAAACAGAAAATGAGGTATTCTGGGAGGACTCTGACTTTATATTCTGGTGAGGGTTTTGATTAGCTTCATGAGCCTGCTCCGATCTTTACAATTTTGTATCATACTATGGCTGTTGTGGTTTTTGTTGGTTTATTTCTGCTTTTTTTTTGTTGTTGTTGTTAAGCAAAGTTGAGGTTTTCTTGGAAGTGAGAAAAAGTCTATCTTCTGAAAATGGTTGGTAATAGGCATGCATCAGTTTTTAATTATGTTACTCATACAACAGTCATTGTAGTGATGCAAACTTTAAAGTATGAAGGCTCTTCTTGAAAATACCTCAAACAAGGGTCAGTAGCTTACAGAACACTCTTGGAAATTCATCAGAATGTATAGTTTTTTTTTCCTATTATTAATGGTGCCTACTGTGGTGGTTTCTATTTTTTTTTTTTTTTTTTTCTACGAAAGTATGTAACCTTGGTAAGATATGTAAGGGCACTACATTGCTCCCAGGCAAAGCCATATCTGTAACCATTCCTCTGACTGCTTTTAGAGGAGAGTGAGGAAGGCTTTTGATCCCAGAATAAAGCTTGTGACTCAGTGCTCTGAAGAACCAGCAACACTTTGCATTTGAAATAATGTCACCAGACCTTCCTTCATAGTATAGGTTTGCATTGTTGTGGCATGTAGAACGTATGTAGGACACCAGTTCATGTATTTAAAAGCAATGTCACAAGGCACCATTTAGTAACACTCAGTGCCTTCAGGTTGCAGAAAAGCTTTTCCTTAGCCTTGATGTGGGTATGAAAGCCATTATATTGTCAGGTTGTACCATTGGGTAGTCTGTTTGTAGAGGCACCTGTGCTGAGCTGCTGCTTTCAGCAACTCTGCCCAACTGAAACTTTTTGTTGTGGGTTGTTGTAGTGTGGGATGGGGTAAAGACCAAGGCCCTCAAGCCTTGAATTGTCTGGTTTGTTTTAGTCTTGCATTAAGAAGTTGTTTCAAAAGCCTTGAGAATAATGTAGTGTGGGCTTTTGGTGTGTTAATTCTTATAAATTTGTTTTGTGGTTGGTTGCAATCTTGGATTTAGGTTTCTGGTTATCTGAGTGGTCAAGTAAGGCCATGATGTGGTATTCTGCATATACAAAAGAAAAAGCTCTGTTGAAGGGAAATAAGTGTGAGTTTACTTGCTTTTCAAATAAGACTTGTAGTGTTGGAAGTCAGGAGGAGATTAGCAGCTCTGATAATGTAGCAAAAGCAGCATCTGGGAGTTGATTTCTATCAGTGATCGCTTCCAAATCTGTATTTAACTCCGCACTGTCCTGCCCTACCTGGAAAAAAGTACAAGCTACGTGTAGGACACATGCACATGCTACTCTAAACATAACCCTACATCTTTCTTGGCATCGAAGATGATAAGAAGATCCTAAAAGAGGTACTCTTGCTGTATTTTGGTGAAACAGTGATTAATCTATTATGTAAATACTGCAAACAGGATGTAGCAGATTCTCATCTAGCAGAAGCATACAAAAAATACAGCCCGAATTTAGATAAGTGATGCTCATTTTTCTGATGTCATCTGGTTATGTGTTTCCTCACTGTCTTGTTCTTAGCCTTTAACATTAGTTGATGATAATTATTTCCAAGCCTAGACATTTAAAAATACTAGGCATATAGGTTGATGGCTTTATTTGCCCCTTACTGTAAATGTCTTTTCTTTTTCCTCTTAGTAGCAGAGGAATCCACACTGGAAGCTGATTCTGTTCATCTTGTTCTCATTAAATTTATCTGTTCTGATTTGAGAAACAAACTGAGTTGTGGATCTTTGTCATATCTGGACAGATACAGTGGCAGATCTATCTGGTGACCCCTTGGAGTTTTGAGAGCAGGTACAGGGGTTTCTCCCTGAAAGCCCAAGGTGCTCTTCTGAAATATCTCACTTCTTAATAGTTTGTTTTCCCTTTTATATCTGCAGCAGTATGGGAAAACGTTTCTTTGAGATCCTAATGTGTTTGAAAAACAGCACAACTCAATAGGACATCTTGTAAAGTAAGCCAGAAGTCAATTTCACTTCTCATTTGAAGCCTTAAGATAATAGGAAAGACTGCTGAATTCATTTTGCATGCCCCAAGTGGGGCTGTGGTTTCAGTGGGGCATACTGAATGCTGGCACCTGGCAAGTTAACCCTGCCCTTGGCCTCTGAGACACACCCTCACTGTACCTAACCTGCTGAATTGTCTGAACAGAGATGAGAGCCGTGGGCTCTTTGTAATCCACACTGGCTACAGCAGGTCTGACTGTGCACTTAAACTGCTGAAAAATGTGGATATTGCAAAAATGGATCCCTCAAAAAGAGTAAATGAGACAAGTAGGTACAGTGCTGTGAATTGTTCTGTAGGAAACGAGAAATATAACCAAGAGTATTTCCCCATCTCCAAATAAACTGTCTTTTATTGCAGAGAATTTGATTTCCAGCTGGAAGCAATGAAGTACTATTTCAGCGGTTATTTCTAGCAGAGCAAAGGTTTAGACATAAGATTCTACTGAACCTTCTGAAATAAGAAAACAGTTTTCTTAGAGCTGCAGGAAAATGCCCAGCCAGATTTGCTACGTACATGTTGGCATACCCTGCTGCTCAGGCATCAATATGTATTTCCATTGGTGATGGACGTGTTGGGTTCCCAAGTTCTGAACACCTGAAGGAGTCTGCTTTGCTCAGCGTGCTGAGTACCACTTGCATCACAATCAGATTTTACTCTATGATAGATGCAGAGCAACACCAGGCAGAAGTACAGACTCTCCATTTACAGACCTCCTTGAGCATGTGGGTGCAGGTCCCAGCTATTTCACTACTTGAGACATCAATGTTTGCAACAAAACCAAAATTTCAGCAGGGGTAAGGTAAAAGAATTGATGCACTGTGGCTTTTTTTCCTCTAAGATCTGAGGGGAAAACTGAAAACTGTCTGTGGGTGGGAGAGGGGATTTAAAAGAAATCTTCAAAAGGAAGTAAGATTTCTTAGAATTAACAGTGAAACTGATCAACATAGTGTTCTGACACTGCTGCTGCTGTTGCACTGTACTTCTTTCGATATTTAAGAGTTTAAATACAGTTGTCTTCCTCACAGCTTAGTGCATTTTCAAACCATCTGCTTTATAGATTCTAGTTCCTTGGTCTGAACCACACACATTGTCAATAGGATACTGTGAGAAATAGATGTATATGAAACCTTTTCTTTATAGTGAAGCTTTTTTTTCCAAAAATATTTGTTCTTTAAGTCCAAGCTTCAAGAACATGATGGAGAAGCTGTAGTGAATTTACATATGCTTGGTTCCTTCCTACCCTGCCTTCAGCCTTTTTCTAATCCGTCTGTTGTGCTTAAGGAATCGCTCTGCCTTGCTCAGCTTCCCCTCCAGCACAGATCTGTCTCATGCTTTGTGTTTCCCAAGTTGCCACAGTAACACTTCACAGTTGCACAGTGCTCTTCTATCTGTCTGGTCAAGTCAGCTACCTGGATGAGGTGTAGTGGGACACAGAGATGTCAGACTTCTCAGCATCTTGAACGATTTGGCTCTTTGGCCCGGTTCTTAGAGGTCATTAAAGGTGTTGCTACTACTTATTGCAAGTCTAAGACCAAAAGACTCTGGAGGATGCCTTCAACTCGCATTGATTTTTCTCACGCAACACCTAGGCTGACTTCAGTAGCAACATCTGCTTATGCCCTGAAATTTCTGGGCCAAATAGCTCATGGCAGTGGTAACCCTGATGTAGTTTTCAGGGCTCTGGTGCAAGACACCTTTTGTACCTCTGATGCATATTGTGTTTGAATGTGCATCAGCAATTCCCTCACACTTGATCCTTTTCACTCCTCCCTATTGTCATGGAACACTCCAATGGGAAGGGACCCACAATGGCCATGGAGTCCAACTCCACAGAACTGCTCAAAATACAAACCCATATCTGAAAGCAGTGTCCAAAAACTCCTTGAGCTCCAGCAGCTCAGGGCTGTGCCCGCTGCCCTGGGCAGCCTGTGCCATGCCCCATGTTCCACCCCTCTGGTTCAGACCCTTTCCTAACCCCACCTGCTCCCTGGGAGGAGCTGTAGCTGCCCTGAGCTTTCCCCTCAGTCCCCTCCGCTTTTGGCTGAATAAACAGAGGAACCTCAACTGTTCCAGATATGGGGCACCCACACTTCTCTGGGCAACCTGTGCCAGTGCCTCATCAACCCCTGAGTGATGAACTTCTTCCTAGTGTTTAACCTAAATCTCTCATCTTTGATTTTAAAGCCATTCATCTTTTTCTATCACTTTCAGACCTCATAAAAAGTCAGTCCCCTCCTGCTTGTAAGCTCTCTTCAAGGCTGCAAGCCTTCCAGTTCTAGCTTGGCAGGGGAAGACCTCAGGCCACACTCACTGCGTGCTGACCCAAGCACGGTGCCTGTGGTGAAGGTGTGGCACCACCCAGCCCAGGCTGAGCATCGCACAGCAGCAAGCTTGCCGGGTGCCAGGGCACACACAGCCTTTCATCATCCCACCCTGCGTACGGTGTAGCAAAAAAGTGTCAATGAGCAAGAGAGAGAGAGGTGAGTGCATACCCGAGAGCTGGTGTCCACCTCAGCCTTTGCAGTGCAGGCTCACCCAGCCTCGCCTCGTATCTGCGTCATCTTTCGTTATGATTCAGCATAACGGGGTTCCGTGCTCTCTCTAGAGACTGCCTGAGTTAAGGTTATCAGTCGGCTTTATGAACAAGCATGAAGGAAGTGAAGACAGATACCACAACAGTGCTGTGGCCATGCTTTTCCACAGTGTATCAGTGGGTGCTCTGTGGAGGCCAACAGGTCTTTTTGTTTTCTGTTTTAATAATATTTTGTAAGCTGTCGCTGTGTAGGCCAACATCAGCAAGCATGTATCTTTGTAAATACACTGCAATATTTGCTGGCAGAATGGGATTCTGGGCACTCTGATCTAGTGTTGGCAGCCCTGTCCATGGCAGGGCATTGAAACTCAATGAAGGTTCCTTCCAACCCGAGCCATTCTGTGACAAAGCAATGGGAGCCCCCCAGCAGGACTGACTTGGGTTTATGTTTCAGATAATGCTCATGTATTACCATCAGCCAGGTCCTCCATCACCATGCTGGACGAACTGAGGCATGGAAAGGACAATACCATACCCAGGTGACTGCAGCTACAACTTGTGCCCCTGCACTGTTGTTGGCTGTACATGGAGCACTGCAGCATCTACAGGAGTGCAGGGGGCAGTTTTATCTTCAACAATCCCATGCTTCTCTATTGAAGAAAGCACCGCATTATTTCTGGAGATGCTGGGAAGAAGAGAACTGTATTTGTAAGTGTTGGTTTATTTTTTTTCTCCTTTTTCTTCTAGCCTGTGAAATTCCAAATAATCTCCTGCCTTTCTGTTCTCTTTCAGGAGAGGTTCAGGTATAATGTTATGAAATCAGAATGAATCAGAAAGTGTCATGAGATATTGGCACAGGATGCCCAGGGAGGTGGTGGAGTCACTGTCCCTGGAGAGGCTCAAGAGATGTGTAGATGTGGCACTGAGGGATGTGGGTTAGTGGTCATGGTGGGGATGGGTTGCTGATTGGACTGGGTGATCTTAGAGGATTTTTCAACCTCAATTCTATGATTGTTTTCAGGTTCCTGTGACTCCTGCCCACTGCTCAAACTGCTGAGAGCAGCTGCAGCAACAAAGTCATTTTGATTATCCTGTGATTTAGATCTTAATTACACCATTTTGTGTTAGTTTCACCAGTGGATGGAGGTATGAAAACTGTCCCTTGGATCGATGCAGAGGGCAGCAGCTTTCTGCAGCTGCAAAGGATGCTGCTGCAGCATCCAGGAGTCACGTGGGGACTGTGCTGATGGTGAAAATACAGGTGTAGATGTAGGAAGCCCTTTCTCTATGGCTGCATCATAATCTCTGGACTAATCCTTGCATTTCTGCTCTTTCCTGGTGCAAGTTTGGGACTGAAGAAGGTTTTATATGTGAATATGTGGAGAGGGCTTTTTGTCTGTGTAATCCCAACCCAGAGAGAGCAGCACCTCTGAGATGAGATAGGACACACAGGCTGGAAATAAGGTGGTTGATTTATTTTTGGAAATTGGCAATGTTATAAAGTTGTTTGAGACCCTCTTTATACATTTCAAAGCTCCTTTCCATTTCAGAGATAGAGCTTGCCGGACAGGAGAAGCAGAGTAAAGAGGAGACTGTGTCTGTATGTGAGCTGTAATGTCAACTCAGAGCCCCACTCTTTAAGGCAGAATTCCCTGTGTTTCAGTGAGTATTCTGCAGACAAATAGCAAGGGAGTGAGTTTGGTCTGGAAAAAGGAGAAAAAGAGCACATCTTTTCTTTTTACCAGAATTTCTCTTCTACAGGATAGGTAAAGCTATAAATGTGGGTAAGTTGTGAGCAGGAAATGATGAAATAGACAGTCCATCCTCTAACAGACAGATTTTATTGGTTACACACACAACTAAGCAAAGCAAAGCAAAGCAGTGATGTCCAGGCTCCAAGAACAAGACCTCACCAATCCGTTGGCCAGACGTCTTGGGAGTCTTGGGAACCCAGAGAAGGTTGCTGCAAAGGTCCATGTGGATTCAGCTCCTTTAAGTCCAAGGTGATCACATGATCTTTGGTTTTGCTCCTCTATCAGCTTTCCAAGTCTCTGAGGCTGATAACATCTTTGCCACCTTCAGATTCTGCTTTTCTGCACTCAGGTGTTACATTCCCTTCTGTATCCTTCCAGAAGCACTGCCCTTGGCTTTCCCTAACCTCTTCTCCTCTGCTGA